ACTACCAGGTCTAGTTCACTCAAAACGCAGAGTAGGTTATCCTTACGCAGGTAGCATTCATTTTGATATCCATATAAATTTAGAAGTTTATATGTATAGAATTTCTTGAAGATTTTTTGTGGAGCCAAATAATTAAACATATAAAGTAAATTTTAAAAATCTTTAGAATTTTAGGAAAAGAAAAGATGAATTTTTAAAACTTGAGAGGACGTAACACCACCCCCCTCCTAGTTCGGTCCTTAAATGTGGGAGCTAATTGTTCTTATTATTTACTGCAACATTTTTTTTGGTTATGATAAAAACGTGTGTAATGAATGAAAATGTTTTCTAATAATAGATACCATTGGAATCTTTTCGTGCTAAATATTTTAAAAGCATATTATATGGCTAAATCATCTGATCAAGTACGGGATATGCCTCCAAAAAAAATTTTGGATGCATAATTATCCTTTTAAGTGAAAAAGATAAGTAGCTTAGTGCATAAACTTGAAAAAAGTTTACGGAGTCGGGAAGGGTCATTTAAGGAAGAGGGGAATAAAAGTTTTTGTGTCCACAATATTGGGGGAAGAGTTTGGAAGCACCAAGAAAGAAAGAAACACAGAAAGACAAACGAGAGAAAAAAAAAAAGAAAATTAGAGCAGGGGTGGGGCTATTTGTGTACGGAGCTGATATTTCCGCAGCTATAATGTTAACTCCACAACAAATTTTACCGCAATTGACAAACTTACCCCTCTCATAACTCGACTCTCACATTTTAGTCAAATCTTAGGGGGCTCAACACTAAATTGGACAGAGTATTATTTAAAATAATTACTATAATGTATATAAGATAAAAAATTTATTAAAAATATAAAAAAATAAGTTACAAATATACTTATGATACATATAAAATATTATTTTAAAAAATTTGCTATCCAAACATCAGGATAATTAGCAACATCATTATATGGAGCTCAAGAGTTTGGTGAATTGGACGCCATATGTAATGAATTGGAAAAAAAAAAAAAGAGAGTACAGAAATGCATTAGGGATCCATGTCCCTTCCAACAACCGCCATGGTGTTCATTTGCCACTCAAACTCTACATAATCTCTTCCTCACTTTCCTCCGTCCATGCCTCCCCTCCCCATCCCTCAATTCTGTTTCTTTCTAAACCATGATAAAATATTGAGTCCGATAGAGATAAAAGAAAAAGAAGAAGAGTATTTTATAAAGGGAGAAATTAGAAGAGAGATAGTGTTACGTCTTCCTATCAATTCGAATCTTTCCTGAGATATCTGTCTATTACACAAAATTTGTTTAGCGTGTCTTATCCTTCAATATATTTGACAGATTATTATTGTACAGGATGAAATTAATCCAATAGACACTCTCACGTAGCAAGTGCGAGTTACCTTGCCAACAAAAAAAATTAGAAGAGAGATAAGTACGAGTTGGTTGAGGAAATTTAGATCATAAGTCGGGAAAGTGACGAGTGGTGGCGGTGGAAAAATCAAAATTTGGTGTGGAACCAGAAATTAGTGTTGACCTGTTAGTAGAGCCTTTTTGTCAAGTAACTTACATATATGCTGTGGAATTAAAATTACGGCCGTGGCATTATCATTTGCCATTTGTATAGAGGAGATCGCCAGCTTTAACAGGACACCACATTGATTCTCACGATACATGTGTGGCTTCTCCGCCCAAATGAACCTCTACCTTCCATTTATTCCTTCGGATCCTCTCCTCCATTGCTAGTACTTCCTCACTACACTTCTCCACCTCCTCCTCCTTCCCTTCCCCCCCCTCCTCTCTCTCTCTCCCTCTCTCCTTTCTTTCCCTCTGTCTCTGTTTTTATCCCTCTTTTCTTCTTCTTGTTAATCCATGGCCCGGGAGCAGCTGGCGATTGAGGAAGAGACACCACAAGCTGCTGCAGCCGACAACAACGGTGTAGCATTTCATGACGCTGGGCCTCCAACAAATCCAAGGTCACGGTTGTGGGCAGTGGCAATTGGGGTAGCGTTGCAGCCAAGCTCATTGCCTCCAACGCCCTCAAGCTCCCTTCTTTCCACGGTACTACCCCTGTTTTGTTTGCCTTCTTATTTTTGTGCATGCAACATTGGAGTTATCGAATTGAAAGACTACTTGCGCTATTTTAGTGCTGATTGCTACATTTTTTACTACGATTAACGATTTTGTTAACTGGCCTCCAAATGCAGCACCTCTGTTTCCTGAGTTTTATGCATTGCTACTTTACGTGGTAGCATTCTTAAAAAAGAGCTCATTCTGTAATCTAATTGGGCTTTTGATTTAGATGAAGTGAGGATGTGGGTTTTCGAGGAGACATTGTCTAACGGTGAAAAACTATCAGAGGTCATCAACCAAACCAATGTAATTAATGTTTCCTCGTTACCTGCCTGTTTCTGTTACTATGCGTATACCCGACCGTTCTCATTCCTGTTCGCGTTCGGGTCTTTTGTTAACAGGAGAATGTTAAATATCTTCCTGGGGTAAAGCTTGGCAAAAATGTTGTGGCAGACCCTGACCTTGAACACGCAGGTATTATATTTGCTTCATTTCTTCTGTTTCTCAACCTTTGTCCCATGTTTCGAGCGTTTGATTGTAAACATGATTCTTATGTATAAAATACTTTTATCTATGACAGACAATCCTTGAAAAGCACCAATTGATGTTTGTGCTAATCTTGTCTTGCAGTAAGAGATGCAAACATGTTAGTATTTGTGACTCCTCATCAGTTCATGGAGGGCATATGCAAAAGGCTAGTTGGGAAGATTAAAAAGGAAGCTGAGGCGATTTCACTGATCAAAGGAATGGAAGTCAAGATGGAAGGTCCCTGCATGATCTCTACCCTCATCTCCGAAAAGCTTGGAATCAATTGTTGTGTACTAATGGGGGCAAATATTGCTAACGAGGTCATTCATCAAACCTTTTTCCTAAGCCGGCAGTGAGACGTAGTCACTGCCGGCTACAGTGAAAGCATTTATAGACTTTTATCTCTGTTACTGCACAGATTGCAGAGGAGAAGTTCAGTGAGGCTACAGTTGGATACAGAGGAAACAAAGAAATTGCAGACAGATGGGTTCAGCTCTTCAACCATCCTTACTTTATCGTCTCAGCAGTAAGTCCGTATGCTGGATATCTTATTTCTAAAAACTTTTATTTAATCAATCAATTTATCCATGTGCAAATTCAATTAATTTACCCCAGTACATGAAGAAAGTTTATCTCAATTATACCAAAAACTTAATTCTTGATTATTAAATTAACACATGTATGTCAAGCATTTGATCTCGTTGACAACATGAAAAACAGGTTCAAGATGTAGAAGGAGTTGAACTGTGTGGAACCCTTAAAAATGTAGTCGCAATAGCAGCAGGTTTTTTTTTTTTTTTTTTTTAATTTATTTGTATGCATCGTTTTCTTCCCAAAGATTTCTAACAAACACTGATCAATTGCTGATTGAGACAGGATTTGTGGACGGTTTAGAGATGGGAAACAATACAAAGGTGAATGCCAACACCCCAACACCCCCCCCCACCCACCCCCACAAAACCCCAAAAAAAAAAAAAATGACCCAACAAAATAACTTGCACTTAAGTCTGGCTACATTAAATGTGTGATAATGTTCTAGGCTGCGATAATGAGAATTGGCTTGAGAGAAATGAAGGCCTTCTCCAAGTTACTATTCTCGTCTGTTAACGACAGTACATTTTTTGAGAGCTGTGGTGTGGCAGACATCATAACCACTTGCTGTAAGTTTTCAGATGCCTTTCTCCTGGACCTCCTTGTGTGTAATTATATTTTAACCTGTCAATTGTCCTGATATACTTACCTCACATGAGATTTTGCATTTGGCATGACAGTAGGTGGAAGGAATAGGAAATGTGCTGAGGCTTTTGCTAGACATGGCGGGAAAAGGTTGATTAACTCACCTGAAATATATAGATCAACCTGTATCTGCGTTTGTCAACAACAGCATACCAACGTTCTTTTTTTTCTGTCGCAACGATAATATTTGTATATCGACGTTCTTCTTGAACTTTTTTTTGTTTTTTGGATTTAGGACTTTTGACGAGCTTGAAGCTGAGATGTTACAGGGTCAAAAACTACAGGTGAATAGATATCAATGACATGTATTATCATTAAAAAAAAAACGATGGTGGTTTCTGCGTGATAATGATAAGTACATGCACATCATTGTCGATGTTAAATAGTAGTGCTAGCAACTTTCTATTAAAATTTCTATCAATGACTATCAACAAGGTCTAAAAAGAAGTAAAGATGAAAGGATCATTTCTGTGACTGCTCCTTCTTTTTTCCCTCTAACTCTATCTGGTGCGGTAATGTTGAAGGGCGTCTCAACAGCAAAAGAGGTTTACGAGGTATTGAGGCACCGGGGATGGTTAGAGTTATTCCCACTTTTCACGACCGTGCACGAGATTTGCAGTGGCCGCCTCCCACCATCAGCCATAGTCGAGACAGTGAAGTGACTGTGACGCCCAAATTTTCTCCTTGTGGAAGGCTCTGCTCGATTTTACAGAGTCTCCATTAGTTGAAGACAAAAACTGCCAAGTTTAGATCCTCTTGAAGTAGTATACTTCTATCATATGTTATGGTAGGAATAAATTTTGGTTGGACTCAAGAAAGATGAAATTCAGACTTCTTTTTGCATGACCAAAAATGAAATCTGTCAAAATTGTCTTTCCCATTTTTGTTTTATGAGTAATTAGTATGAGGGCCATTTTATCCAAAAGGGATGAACCCACGAGTCACGACCCAAAGATTGGAATCATTGGAGTGTGAGTGGTCACGACCCAGAGACTGGAATCATTGGATTATGTGAGTGGTCTGACGACTTTTTGTTTGGGGAGATGCTGATGGCCGAGGCTTTGGTGGCATCATAGCTCCATGTATCTGGCGCGACTTCGATGTTGGCTAAACATTCGAGTCCCAGAGCCACGGCCCTAGCAGACTTCAAAGAAATCAAAGTCAACAGTAGAATTCTACTTATAACACCCCACACATTTACTCACCAGATTCACACATAATTTATTCAGTAATTGCCACAAACTGACAAGAAGGCCCAAAATAAAGGGGGAAAGGCATAAAGAAGAACAACTATGTAAATTTTGCTTTGCCCCACACCATCAAACAATACATAGATTTACAAAATTGTCTCTGAGAAAGAAGAAAGAAAAGGGGGGAAAAAATTTAACCTGTTCTTATTCTATCTAACCTATCGACACTCTTCCGACCCCTTTCCAATTGATGATCGATGCTTTTCCTGGACTTCTCGATGCAATCTACACTTCTCCGAGATCTTTCCAGTTGGTCGAAGGAGATCCTCAATTTTTCAAGTTTGTCAGCGTTATTTGACTGATTTTTCAATTTCTCTGGCCGGTCTGTACTGTGCCTAGGTTTTTCCCTCCTGTCAGTGCTCTTCCTTGAAGCCTCGAATACATCCGTGCTTTTCCTAGATGGTTCGAACTGGTCCGTGCTTTTCCTGGAACTGATCCTCTGTGATGGGGATCTCTCTACAGTTGCAACGAATTTCTTGAGATGCCTGATATATTCCGGATATAGCTCTAAATCACAGTGGTTCCCTCCTTTAATCCACAGCGGTTCATATTTCTCCTTGCAGAGCTCCCATAGCTGCTTACCATGTGAAAAATCAACTACTTCATCTGCAGTTCCCTGCACATGCGGGACAAAACATGACAAGCGCAAAACTTGAATGATAACATGAACCAACAATTTCAGCCTCTGGTTTAAGCAGCCCATTTAACCACTTTATTGCACACAACTCCAGCGACAGGCCAAGTGAAAACTGAAGGCCCCAGTTTTCTGGCTAGTTAGGGATCACTAAACTTTACGCTGGCAAAAGGCAATCAATTCATCAAAGCCTCGAATAAAAAGCATATAATTTGAGATGGCGTCAACTCACGTTCATAAATGAAAAGACAAGTAATAGGAACAAAGAATAAGATGTGAGGATGCAGATCAAAGATTTTCAACTGAGTACACGGCAATAACAATGAAACCGCAAGTAACAATATACTTACGTGAATGATAAGTACAGGACAGGTAACCAGTGGAATTTTGTCAATGTTCTGCACCATTACAGAAAAAATAATAAGCAAGCAGGAAAAAAGATTCATCTTCTCTTGGTTCTACTTTCATGCGTGGATGAATTCTATACCTTGTAGATATCAAACCAATATGAACGTTTTACAGGATACATTACTCTTAAGCCTGATAGAATGGGACTATGCAGAACAACAGCTCTTAACCGAGGCAAGCGAGCTGCAAGGTCCAAAGTAGGACCACTCCCAACAGACTGTCCATAAAGGATAACGTCTTCTTGCTTGGTGCCATAACTCTCTTCAAGACACTTGTATGCAGCTTCAATATCTGCATAAGTATGCTGCTCACTAGGCTGTAAACAGGAAGACGCAAAAAGATTAATTACTGTGTCTCTAAGGAGATCGACACTGTTTATCCTACCCTTTAACAATGTTAATGAGTAAAAGATTATCCTGACGCATTTGATCTGACAAACCTTTCCTGATGACTGTCCATAACCAGAGTAGTCATACCTGCATGGAATTATAGCTTCATCAGAGAACCGCCATTAAGTTGGGCAAATGTCAGCTGCATATACACTGGCGTTAGACTTTTCTTAAGCCATGGAAGTCCCAATGCCAGTCCCCATAAATAGAGCCCTATATTCATCGACCTAGTATGTATATAACTACCAAGCAACAGATAAATGAATATCTGTTCTAGTCGTTGCTATTCCCACAGGGAGCATAGTTACTACATTTTTTCCTGCAATTGTCATCTCCATTTCTTTGGACTCATTCCCCATTTTCCGATCCATTCTGATGCAAAACCATGGTTGAGTAACTTCCTACCAATTATCTGTTTACTAGTAGTATCTGTAGAGTGCGTTATGTGTTTCACATTAATCCGGAAGAAATACACAAACAGAAGCTTTTGCAAGTAGATCATAACAACCTAGTCCTTCACAAGTGAAGCTCAAGTAACATAGCTTAACAGAGAATCAAAGCATAAAAGCAGTTATAGATCCAGTAAACAGAAATATTCATAAAAGAATTTCATACTTATCATAAAGTGGGACCAGTGGTGAAAGCATTTTTCAGTCTCTTGAGTGCCAACGCACCACTACAAGTCTATAATATACAAAAACCCTGAAGAGAGGAGAATTGCAAGAGGAATGTTGAATGCTAGATCAATTTGCAGGAAAACCCAAGTAGAATCCATACACTAAATAATTTTTTCCGATCTTTCAACCCTCTATTCTAAAATCTGCCGGATCCAATTTAAGATACTCCATGATGAGTAGTGAATGATTCATCCCCACAGGTATCTTTAACAAACAATTAAGTGCTAAAATGCCAGCTCAGATAGGCAGCTTGCATTTATATTTGCAAGAAGACATGACCTTTGCTCCAAAAGCTATCCAAATTACTCAAAACTGGAACTTTGATACTATAAGGAGAAATGTCAAGTTTCATGATTGGCAAGGATCCATCAATAAAAAAATATATATGTATATATATAATCCCAGAAAGAAAGAGCTGGAACCAACTAGACCTGATGCCGGAAAACTCCAAGCAAACCAGACATAACTCCGCCCCCATTTCCCAAGAAATAAAGATGGTTTCCATATTATTATTATTAATTCAATTTCGAGACCCCAAATGTTTTACACTGTAGAGAATTCAAATAAACACCGAAAGAATAGAAAAGCAAGCTTTTATATGGAGAAATGAGGGGATGGATAAAGAGAAAAGGGGAGAAAGAGAGAGAGGCAAAGAGAGGGTACCCCAAGAGATTGACACGCAAGTGGATGCTTAATTCAATGAAAAGCTCATACATCTGGCCCAGATCGGCGGCGTTGCCGTGGGAGTAAAGAAGGGTGGAGGTGGCCACGGGATGCCTAACGTAAATGGCGACTATCTCGGTCCCTTTACGGGTGGGAAGTTTGAGGACCTCCACGTTCTCCCTGTGGGGAAAAGGGGTGAGGAGGAGCAACCCGGTAACGTCGTCGGTGAGGAGCTTGTAGGAGGGTGGGTTGGGGGGGAAAAAGGCGAACTTGGCCGCCATGGATGATGTCACCCCACCCATTCTATTCCTATTTCTATCTCCTATTTCTACCAACTCTGTGATTTTAGCTAACCTTTGGTTGTCCCTACTAAGTAAGTATGATTTCAGCTGCTCTTCAATTCACTGAGTATGGATGGTTATGGATTGGAGTCTGAAAATCCAATAGAAAAAAAAAAAAAAATGGACAGCCCTTATTCAGTGAACCACAAATTCTACTTCTGCTCCAACAACAACAACAACAACAACAACAACTTGTTTGTGCCAATCAAAACTGCAATCAATTTCTACTTCTGCTCTTATTGCTGCTCTCTGCCTCTTATCTCTCCTTCCATGTCCTTTTTTGAGACTTCAGCTTTGACAGACACTCTCAGACTTTAGCTTCCTACTAACTAGTACTACTAATTACTCCTAATAATACTCCTGTCACTCTCAGTTTAGTCTTTTATTTATGGTGACGGGGGAACTAACTTTGGCCTCCGTCAGCTCAGCTCAGTTCTTTCTCCCCATCCTACACTATACTTTTTCTTTTTTTTGAATTTCAAAAAAAAAAAAAAATTACTCCTAGTAGGATAACAATAATATTAATTTTAATGGGATAGTTGCTCCTTAATTTTAAAATTTGAAGTCTTTTTTGTAAAGCTAAGTAGCTAACTTGGTTCAATACAATAAGTTGAACCATGGAACTAAGCAAGTAGTACTTATATTGAAGAAGTTGAACCACCTTTAATATATATATATATATATATATATATGCGTTGGAAGGAATCATGACGCATGGGACTCAGATATAATTGATTGAGAGTAGTAAAACGTAATACTACTTACTATTACTTTATAAATAAAAAATATATATATATATATTTGGGAAGTGGACGTAAAAGGTAGGGCTTGCTCTCTTGCGGTAGGCTATTTTAATTTAAGATTACAAACTTGAGCGTGCATATTATTGTCTTTCAAACTGTGCAAACAATTTTTGGTCTCATTTGGATTGTTATTTTTAAAATTTTTAATAAAAAAAAAGGTGCTGTAATAATTTAATGTGTATGAGATATGATAAAAAAAATAAAAAGTAAGAATTTTTTTAAAAAAAAATAAAAATAAAAAACTGCCATCCAATCCAGACACCACCTTAAGACTCTGACATATTTCTGGATGGTTAATGAACTAGTAATAATTGTTCAGGCATTGTTTGACAAAAGGGCCCATGAGCCGATCATGTTAAAGCACATGATGAAATGGGAAAGTAGTGGTAAGATCATAGTCCATAGATGGTGGAGAAGCACCTTTTCTCTCTCTCTCTCTCTCTTCTTTTCCATTTTTGTTTTACTTACCCTTTTGAGGAGGACGAAAAATAAAAGGTTGAATAAATTTTGAATGTGCAATGCATGCAGCCAGCCAAAGGAATGCTTTGCGTAATTGTAGAGGCGGTCACCAAAGTAAACAAACACAAACCCATAAAATAATTATAAACCCACTGCTCTGTTTAGTGTTTTCTTCTTCATTTGTTACTCCTCTCTCTCTCTCTTTTTACCTTTTACCTTTTACCTTTAGAAGGAAGGAAAACCACTGGGTGAAGTCAGTACTGTAGTAGTGTAAGTGGACGGCGGATTCTTGATCCAAGAATGAATTTGGATTTTTAACTAAAATCATCTTCGGGGATGTGCTGTTTCTTTCAGCTTCCGTGATTCTCTAAGTCATTAATATTTGGAAAAATGATCGGTTTCATCCTTTACATTTCACAAAAATATTCTTTTCGTCCCTCACTTTTAAAATGAAACAATTTCGTCCTTGACATTTAAAAACTAAAAATTATTACATCCCTGAATCCAAATTTTAATCTGAATCAAACCACCAATCAACTTGATTACAAATTTTGGGGGTGTAATTGGTAGATCACTTGGTTAACTCAACTTGATATTCATGTAAAATTTAATGAATCTAAAAAGAAAAAAGAAAAAATTATAATATAAAAAGAAAAATTAATCTTTTCTACATTATCATTGTATACACTGACAGTTTTATGCACCGCCATATCATTTTAATTTAAATTTAAACACCAAAATTTATATTTATGATACACATCTAGATTCGCAAGCGGATATACTAATAGTGCATGAAAAGATTTATCAAAAAAAAAACTCTACTATTCCAAGACAAAGAATGGCCTTTTATGTTATAATTTTTATTTTTTTGGTTTAATAAATGTCATGTGAATACGATGAAGTTGACCGAATGATCTATCATTTTATTTTCGAAATTTATTACTGGTTATTAGATGATTTGATTCAGATTGAAAATTAGGTTCAGAGATGTAATAGCTTTAATTTTTAAATGTCAGGGACGAATTTGCTTCATTTTAAAAGTGAAGTACGAAAAGAATATTTTTGTGAAATGTGAGGGATGAAACAGGTGATTTTCCCTTATATATTTCTTACTTGTGAAGATGTCATACTTGAGATTGTTAGCGCCAAACCAGCACAGAGAAGATATTGAGCCGTTATCATAAAAGAAAAGTTACATGAAATTGGTAATAAAGCTTACTAAAGCAAAAAGTTTTAAAAATTAAAAGGTGCAAGCATTCTTCATTATGAAACTAAACGACGGGGAAAAAAAAAAAAAAAAACGCAAGGCTAATTGCTTCTCTCTCTTACTTAAAGAAGACATTTTGCCCCAAGTCGCAAGGATAGTAAAATTAATACTAGTCATGGTTTTCCATAGGACTTTCTTTATGTTCCTGCATCCCATCAGCATATGATTCTAATTACTTTTGACAGCAAAGGAGGAAGTGACTGAAGGGCCCATGTCCCGAAGGCAACAAAAAGTTCACCCCACCCCCACCCCCACCCCCACCCACCCCCACAAATCAAGCCATCCATCCTTCGTTCTCTTCTGCTCTGCTTGGTAGCGTATCTGATCTGTAGTAGTCACAGCTCACAGTCACAGGAAAAAAAGAAAGAAAGAGGCATTGTTGGGAGAGTAATAGTAGACTCATTTCACTGACCGGCGCATAATAAGGCAACGTAAGGTTAATCATACCAAATGGATTTCTTTCTTTTTCTTATTAACTAGTTGATGAGGTAAGGGTAGTCGTCGAAAGTATCCAGTGGTTGGTTAGGGTGGGGATGACACCGACGTTGACGCAGGTGGGGTTTCTTTGAGTAGGACGGCCGTGGCCCGTGGGGGAAGGAAGTCTCTAATGATAACAAAAACAGAAAAGTCCAATTTGTGGGTGGGTCTAACCGGGATTGCATCCTCTAAATCTCATACAGGTTTTGGCGGGGACGATGGGACATGTCTGCAGTGCAGGTAGGGTTGGAGAATTTGAAGTAAGAGTCTTGCTAGATTTTCTGGTCCGGTAGGGCTTCGTTCCTTTTCCAATTCCGCCCCATGTTCAAAAAAAAACGACAACCCATATTGATCGATATTGCACACAAGCTGCTTACAATACAGTCGGAATCATAGGAAGAATGTCGATCATGAGCGCCGGTCCGGTCGGTCACGCGTGTCCTCATCTTCTTTTATTTTATTTTTTTAAAACTCCTACCTTGTTAGCAGTAAAAATTTTATGCCCAGGCTGAGCAAGAAAAGAGACGGTGGATAATTTCATGCAAAGGGAATTGAAGCTGGCATACAGGCAAAGGGAATTGTCCCCCTCTGTCAAAAACAAAAACAGTAGTAACATTTAGCTCCTCCTGCAATCAGAAAGAAGAGCAGCGGGTGCCAACCACCAAGTACCACTAAAGTACACGTGCCTTCCCGTGGGCAAGACAAAGGGATGGTCGGCCCCCCAGACCCAGAGGGAGCGAGGGAGAAGCAGACGACAAGAATAGAAAGCAAAGCGCAAATTTAGGAAAAGAAGCTGGTCGCCCCGCCTGGTAATCTCCTGAACATATTCTGCCTGCGAGGTAAATGTTGACCGAAATATTTACAGTAACAGGCTACTGTTGATGATATGCTTTCCAACCAACCAAAGAGGAAAAGAGGTGCAGCCCTTTTGCCTCTAATGTTTGATTAAATATAATAATAATAGGCAGAAAATTCATGTAAAGTACTACTTTTACCTGTTTCCCCCTGATAATACGAAAAACCCAAAAACAGAAGAAAAAAAAATTCCCTGCACAATTCAGACTGAAAATGGTTGCTAATATCTTCATTTCTTATCTAGATAGATATCATAACTCTTGCCACATTCATGTGAATCATTCACGGCCCCAGAACCTTTTTAAACAAAATGTAGTAGGCGGGCGGGCGGCGCGGGCGCATGGATTTGATAAATTGAGAAACTCCAACACCGTCTGAAGAAGAAAATTAAAGAGAAAAATCAGATGCATCATATCATATGCATACATAACAATTAGCATTAGTGGACTTCCATTTCTCAAAGCAGAAAATAACAGATACGTCTCTTCATACTCTGCGAGACTTCAAAAATGGGCGTCAAGTCATAGCAGTCAAAAAAGAAGATTTATTTTGTGCACAAAGAAAAATGTGTGCCTAGAAGCAAAGGAAGATGGGCCATCTGAAAAGACGACGAGATGATTCATCGCACAAAATAAAACAGAAACAGGACATGAAAAATTGACTCCAGCTCATACTAACCAAGAATTCATTAAATGCAGTTAATTTACCCATTTCTTGAAGCAAAATGGTAAGCTCACAATATTCACAGGCAAACAAACTGACAATGATAGCATTGTTGTACTCTTGTTCCAAAAATCAAAACAATAACTATAACCAAAAGAAATTTTAAAACTAGAAAGTCCAACCTCTCTCTGCTGAAGATTATATGTTCCTGATGTTGAACTGGCAATGGAACAATTAATGGCCAGGAGGATGCACATTCCTAGTGTACCTACCGCGTTTCACTGAAAAAATGCAAAATTTTACTTGCTCGTCCTTTAATTAGTTGTCAAAATCTTCAGGGTTCTTCCACCACAAAGGGTGTTCATACCTACAAGGCTGTATAAACCACTTAAACTATACTACTGCAGAATATAGAAGTCGGCCAACCTAGTATATTTTCATTACCCTCTCCAACCTCCAACTGCCAAAATAGTTCTCAATCTACGGCCACCATACCTGCCTTCTCATGGACTTGGTCAATAGAAAATGTTCTACATCCTAGTATACGAATGGTTTTTGAGATTTTTTTTCCCGATATTACGATATTGTTAGCTTTATGATACATCACTGAAGACAATGCAGAGACTGTGACATGATCTACGCTTAGTAAGGCTTTTGGGTGAGTTTTTGGCAATTCCTGATCCTGATCCATCAAAGATTTTGCTGCATCAGCCTTATTTGAAAGGCAGCAGTTTCCTACTCCGTCTTGAAGGTGTGCTTCAACAGTAGTCAGACCAGAAATGGGCATTGACAGAAAGGTCAATGTCCCGAGTTCACATCCTGCCACCAAATTCAATCACGGTACAAAGACTCCATTTTGGCATATGTTATGACAATGGTTCACGACATGCATATACAAACGAACTCAGTTTGTCTCAAGTATTGTTCCAATCGAACAAAATCAAAATGGCACCAATTCAATCCTAACTTACTCGAGCAAATCAATTCCGACTCTTAGGAAATGGATCGTGTCAGCATCCATTTTTCCTCAAAGCCATCATCAGGCTAAATGATAAAGTAACAATCTATGCAGACCCAAAAAAAAGTGTAATTCTTGTCGACCCATCATTCCATATCATTGGTTGCTATCTGAATGTTAACAGAGTATGGGATGCAGAATAGCCATTAGCTAAGATGCAAAAAGACTATAGCCTCTTGTGACTCTCAAGAATCAGATAATTTAAGTAGGATTCCCAATCAAGCAGCCACCTCCTCGAATTATGTCTTGGCAACTCTTAAGCAGTTTGCATATGGAGCCGAGATTTTCCTGAACTGCTCCAGATATACAAAGGCTCTACCATCCAAAGAACTAAAAGAAGATGAGATGAAGGAGTTTATCGAGTTTGTTTCAGTTAGCGGCAATGAAGCTTAATTTGTAAAATATACAACGAAATACAAAAGGAAACTCGGAGCATTTTGAAGCAAAGACTCGCGATTAATGGACCAACAGAAAACAAAAGAGTTGGAGGAGAACTAGTTGACATTTAACCGCGGAATATCTCTTTCACCGGCAAATTTTGGAAAACATGGAAAGCTGTCATCCAATACAAACCCAAGTAAAATGACGACGGTATTTTTCACATAATTCCAAGAGAATACCAAAGGGGGATAAAAAAAATGTCTCACCGGAAATTGATCGAGGGACAAAGGAGCATTGTCATCATGTTTTTCTCCTAAGGCGCTTCCTCAACTTCCTCAACTTGTGCTTGTTCATCTTTCTCTTCCTCTTCTTCTTCACGCTATCCGCCCAGACCGTCGGTGTCGGCGTCCGCGAATCCTCCAAGAAGCATTCGCCCTCGTCAGTTTTAATTACCCCATTTAAGCCTATTGGATTTAGGAAAAACGGCCCAAAACAAAAGCTCGGAAGGTAGCGGTGTGAAGGAGGAGAATGGTTGAAACTCCAACAATTCTCCGTCCAAGGTTGATTCCATAAGGGGATATGAAACGCTGTCGTCTGAGACTCGGAGGAAGGGGGCAAGAATGGCGTACTATTATTGACGGCAGTCGGCGGGATTAATGATGGTAATGGCTGCGACGGGTGGCTGGGAATGGGCTTGTAGATGAGGGGGAGGATTCTCCTGGCAGGCGATTGAGATTGGCCTGCCACAAGTTTCTGGAAAGTAGACCAACTCATTTTTGATTCTTTACAAGAAAGTAACACACTAGGAATCACTTATCCGAGGAGCTTCGACCTGGGAATTACTATACTACTAGTCTATCAACTAGGGTTAGGAGTTGGGAGGAGTTGACTCGTTGGCCCTTTGCGCGCCATTTGCTTTTGCTCATCACAGACTCGGTCACGGTCCATCTGCGGCGGCGTGGCAAAAGGGCAGAAGAAATTGCCCCCATGCAGGATCGAACTACAGACCTTCAGTTTACAAGACTGACGCTCTACCACTGAGCTATAGGGGCTTGCTGTTTGCTTGTTTACTTATTACTTTACTTAATTACTTGCTTTATTTGGAACGCACCTATTTTATATTTATTATTATTATTAATTAATTTTTCATCTTGACTAATATATTCCCAATAATTCTTCACAACGACCTGAGCAACTGGCTAACTTGCTGCCCAATGTTGACTCCTTAGCCGCGGAGAGATTCCATTCCTCCTCCACCTATTGCCATCACTTTGAATAGCAAACTTGCTGGTTGGCGCACCGATCCGTTTGACAAACAAGAAAAATCGTTACTTATCCTAAAATGTTATTGTAAAATCTTTTCTTTTTTTTTTGAAAAAATCATTCAAAACGTTCCTCATATTTTACAAGATTACTTTTTTCGTCCCTTACTTTTAAAAGTGTAATTTTACGTTCCTTACAAATTCAAATTGACCAAATTTGGTCCCTACCTAGGTTTCTGACTAGTTTTTTGCCGGAATCCATCACGTGATTTGCATGTGATCATTTTTTAAGAGCAAATTTGTCAAATCAAATTTTTACATAATCTGATTCATAATTCCTCACATTTCACAAAATGAATTTTTTCGCCCCTAACATTTTACAAAATGAATTGTTTCGTTCCTCACATTTCAAAAAATGAATTTTTCTATCCCTCACATTTTTCAAAATGAATTTTTTCATCCCTCGTTGATCATGTGTATGAATAGCTTTTTTTATAAACCCACGTATATGTCTATTTGATTTTATCTTAACAGTACGAATAACACGTAATTTATCTCTATTGGATTTCATATAAATATATTAATCGTAGTTTTACACATGTTATTCAATAAATATATATAAGGGTTTAAAACTAATAATTTTATTTGAAACCCATGTATATATTTATATGATTTCATCATTTGAACCTATTCAATATTTGTGACATTTCTCTTTTAGTAATAATTTATTTATTGAATTGTATAATAAGATCATCTAATTAATGGGTCCTAACTCGAATTCTATACAAATTTCAATTTAAATATGAAATTTCTATTCGACACTTTTAAGACCAATAGTTGAATTACTTGCATTGTGATTGTCTTAAAATTTGAAAATGCCAATCACTTGTTTCTTTTTGTCATACTTTTCTTTTGTTTATTTTTTGTGTCCAAATTTAATTCGATATAAACACTCGATAATATTTATGATTAAATGTCTTCTTTATTTTTAAATTTTGAATAAAAGAAAATGAATATAAGTGAAAAACTAACAATTTTTTTAAACTCATGTATATATTTATTTGATTTCACTTGAGCAGTACGAATAGTATGTAATATATCTCTATTTGATTTTACATACTATTCGTACTGTTCAAGTGAAAGATGAAAAAACTAGCCGGAAATGTGAATGATGAAAAAATTCATTTTGTGAAATGTAAGGAACGAAAAAATTTATTTTATGAAATGTGAGGGATTATGAATCGAATTATATAAAATTTGATTTAACAATTTTGCCCTTGAAATATGATCACGTACAAGGCACGTGGTGAATTCCGATAAAAAACTAGCCGGAAACCTAGGTAAGGACCAAATTTGATCAATTTGAATTTGTAAGGGACGTAAAATTACACTTTTAAAAGTGAGGGATGAAAAAAGTCATCTTGTAAAATGTGAGGGACGTTTTGAACGATTTTCCTTTTTTTTTTTTTTACCCAACCACTAACCAAGTCTGACTAATGCCTTTTGTTTTCATATAACCAAAAAGAAAAAAGATGATGAATTTGCATAATTTGATAATGGGAATTTGAAATAACCGCTAAAAAATGTTTGTACTTTTATAATAATAAATCATACTGTATAGATTGCAATAATTGTTTGAATTTTCTATTATCGACAACTTTGCTTTTGCATGTCGAAGCTGAAGACTTGTTTAATAACGCGCTGTTTGATGCTTAGTATACTCCTTTATATTCTGCATTTTCCCTTGGATCAATATATCAAGAAACATTTTAATTTAGTGTGTTTTGTAATAAAAATGTCTTGCCACTTAATACATTAATATATGGATTCATCTGTGATCAAAATATTAAGTGAAAATTTTTCATTGAATTTATTAAATTGACCACACAAATGAATACTTAAAATTCTTTTATTGTTCTCTATTTGTCTTGCACACTCTTCACTTTTTATTTGATATTTCGAAATCTAACAACCATAATCTCCGACTGCTCTTATCCTCACTCCTACATATTGAGATTTGGTTTCACATACACTTCACATATCTTCTTTTTTTTTTTTGTCTGTTTAAATCACTCCTAACTTATGTCACGCTATCACGCACACTTGTATATGATCTCTCTCGTTCTCTCACTTACACATACACAGTCGAACATATATACATACCGCATACACATGCTCTGTCTCTCTCTCTCTCTTTCTTTTGCAAATACGTTCGATGCCTCGCATACAAAGAACATAAATACACGTATTATTCTATGACACACGTCTATACATACTCTCGCTCTCTCTCTCTCTCTCTCACATGTGCTCTTATTCATAATAAACATTTTTTCTCTTTTTCTATCTCATGAACACATTGTCATGTATATATTATACATACATAGTATTCTATGTTCGTGTAAGTGTGATTGTATATATCGTACAATGCATGCATACATATATAGTATTCCCTTTCGTGTAGGCGTGATTGTATATATTATACAATCACACATACATAGCTATTTTCATTTTCTCTCCCTCACAATGCATATATAGTATTTCCCTTTTGTCTCTTTCCACCACTCATTCACTCTACTTCGTGCATTCTTTCTATCATTCACTCATTCTCCACACAAACAAATTCTAATTTATCTTTAACAACACACACACACACACACTCCATCTCTCCCTCTTCTTGTCGTACAAATACACATGCTTAAATATCATCTCTCAATTATTTGATTGTTTTTTATTTCTAACACACGATATTTTCTTACTCTCCCATATGCAAATAAAGGCAATTGAAAACTTTAATGTACAGAATTATCATAGTGCGAGACGTTTCAATTCAATGTTTAGATTTAACTAGTTACCGAGTAAATCCAACTTTATATAACTCGAGAATACTTTTTGGTAGTTAAATTTTATATTTCAGAAAATTTCAATCCTATCAAATGCGGCCTAAGGCTAGACAGAGGGGTATTGAAGAATAAATGGTGGCAAATGAATATGACAAAGTGGACAATCGGTTATCTGTAAATGTAACTCGTTCAGCTTCAGCCTCTAACTTGGCAACATGGACTAAGCTCGTCTTATACCTTTTTCCTAAATATGTAAATAATATAGAAAAAAGACTCGTGTTAGACCTGTCCAGTCCTCAGTTTTGGAGCACACGAAAGAGATAAACATGGCACCTGACGTCAAACGGTCAAAGGGCGTAAAAACTCTCCATCTTTTTAGCAACAGTGATTTATTTAGTGAGGTTAAAACCCGTAAAAGAGACGGGTTAATTTTTGCAACTGTTGCGTTTGGATTGGGTGTTTTTGCACCTGTTTTTGAAAAATTGTTTTTCACATTTCAAATGCTACAGTAATGTGTATTTCAAAAACACCCATATCCAAACAATATATCAAAAACAACTCCAAATATATTTCAATTATGTATATTTAATTTGTATATTTTAATAAATATATTTCAATTTGTATATTTTAATTATGTATTTTAATATGTATATTTCAATTATATTTTAATATATTTTAATATGTATATTTCAATTATGTATTTTAATATGTATATTTCAATTATGTATATTATATATATTATATTAATATAAATATATTTATTTCAATTATGTATAATATTATATATATTATATCAATTGAAATAAATATTATATATTTATATAAATACATTTATTTATATATAAATTTATAAATATATTTATTCAAATTTGTTTTATAATATATATTAATATATATTAATATGTATATTTCAATTATGTATATTATACATAAATTATATTAATAATAATGTATATTATATATATTATACATTTCTAATATTATATATTTATACATACATATTATAAATATTTTATTTTATTTATAATATATTTTTATATATTTTTATATATTTATAATATATTTACATAAATATTATATGTTATATAAATTATATATAATATAATATATAATATATTATATAATATATTATACTTTTATATAAATGTACATTTATACATAATATATAAATATTTATGTATATTTATAATATACATTTATATTATGTATAATATATAATATAATACATTTATATATTTATATTAATATACATAATATTAATTTTACATTTATACATAATATTAATACATGTATATATTTATATTAATTATATTAATACATTTCTACATAATATTAATATATATTTATAATTTAAGAATTTATACCTTTATATAATATTCATTTATAATTTATACATTTTTAATAATATACACTTATACATTTAAATATACATTTATATTATGTATTATATATAATATAATACATTTATACATTTATATTAATATACATAATATTAATTTTACATTTATACATAATATCAATACATATATACATTTATATTAATTATATAAATACATTTCTACATAATATTAATATATATTTATAATATACTAATTTATACATTTATAATAATATACACTTATAATTTATAATATATTTATAATATTCATTTATAATTTATACATTTATAATAATATACACTTATACATTTATAAATATATTTATATTATGTATTATATATAATATAATACATTTATATATTTATATATGAATATATAAATATATTTATTTATAAATATCTATAAATGTATTATAAATGCATAAATGTATATTTATATAAAAATATAAAAATTATAATATTCTAAAAATACTCAAAAATATGTTTCAAAAATACCTCTAAAAATAATCCAAAAAAATCTACAGTAAAAGTTTTTCATATAATTTTTGAAAAACAACCCAAAAAACAACTAATCCAAACGGACTTGTTTTTCAGATTCAAAATGCTACAGTGGTGTTTTTGAAAAACAAACCAAAAAACAGCTAATCCAAACGGAGACTGTTTCCATTTTCCAAATGACACGTCGGTTGCTGGTTCACATCCCATACTTAAATCCTTTCCCTCTTTCCCTCTTCCCAACTTTTGGGTTTGGTTTTCCCCAGGCTTTGATTTTTTTGCTCCTAAACTGTTTCATTCCTCTGAGATAATTTTGGGCATTAACACGGAAAAGCAGGGTTGAGATTGTTTCTTCACGACGCTGATTTCAAAAATTGGAGTGAAAAAAAAGAAGTTTTTCCTGCTCCTCATACTACTGTTTATTCGCCAGGTACCGTATCTCTCCCACTGTCGAGATTCTGCCAGCAGCTATATGGAAATTGGCTGAGATTTAACTAGAAATCGGAAACGCTAATAAATATATTAAAACCGTAATTTTTATTTGTTCTATTTTTCTGTTTTTAATTGTTTTTTTTGTAGCTATTTTCCTATTTTATGGAAAACTTTATTCTCTATTTCAATGGAATCTAGCAGCTTTTGAGCGGAATATTTTTCTTCTTCAAGGGTTTTTGGGTTCTTATTTATGGGTTTAGTTCTTGAAAGGTTTCAACTAGCTTAAAATACTGTAATGGCCATAAATTCCTTGAGGTGATACTGGGAAAAATATTGCTAGTGGCGAAGGTGTTTTTGATGTGTCTTTGTTGCCCTTGTTTCCGATTGATCACCCTTCACCGCCACTCATTGCCTGGGTGAACCATGCCGTCAACCGACGAGCTTTGATCTGTGTTTGGTTTTCTTCCCCCTTTTTTTAATATTTTATTTTATTTTCCTTTCTGGGCAAGTATTTGTTTCAACGTGGGCCTTGAACCTGCTGTTAGACGTACTCAAATTTATGGGATATCAAATCAAGCTTGTAGAATGCCTAATTGGTTTGAATTTTACATACATGCGGGGTCTGATTTTATTTAGTGCTGGTTCGGGTTTTCTAGTGTTTATGCTGCCTGGTGTGCTAATTATTTTAGTCTTCATTTTCTGCTGCAGCATTGGTATGTCAGAAACTTCTAGGGGTTTGGGTGCTCCAGCTGAAAACAATATGTTAGGACCAGATTTCTTTGCTTTTTATATGCGTGAGTTAGCAGATTTGGTATCAGAGGAGGAGAATTTGCTGGCTTTCTTTCCAGAAAGTTTGGACCTAGTGAGAAACATTCCCGGGGTTGCTGGAGAAGACAGTTTAACCGAGAATAGGCTGGACGGCTGCAATTTCAAACAGAGCATTAAACCTACTGACTCTGCTCCCTTATTTTCTGATGCTATTGGATCTCAGCTTTCAGATTTCCGGAAAGAAAGATTGAAGTCACTGGCTCGCAGAAGTCTCTTAACCTTTACAAAAGAAGTTGATGAGGTATGGATCAGTCTTAGTTCTTTTTGCAGTCTCTTCTTATTTTCTTCTTCTCGCTTTGCTCTTAAACCTGACGCGTGTGTGAGGACATGCTAACTGTTTAGATAAGAGATATGTGTGGGGTTCTTCTTTTCCCATTGTTAATTACTTCATTTAAGTGATTTAGTAGGTTTAGTTACTGAATTTATTTGTTTTATGGTGAAATTGCCATCATTATCTTGCTTCTTGGTGTATCCCTTTAGTTGTTTTTACCCATCACTGAACAAGATATTCCTAAATCTAGATATTATCTTTGTGGCATTCAAAATTTTTGCCTGACCCAAAGCCTGTTATATAATGAACTTGTTTAATTCCAGATGTTAATCCCTATACTTAGCATATGTCGGATGCAATCATGGCTGAGATACAGAGAGAGCATTATTGAGCCTTCCTGATACTGCAAATGTGTCCCAAGGTCTCTTATAATATCCACTACTTGTTGAATTTCAGATGTTAATTCCTATACTTCGTATATGTCGGACGCAATCTTTGCTGAGATACAAAGAGAGCATATTGAGCCTTCCTGATACTTCAAATGTGGCTAATGAAGAGTTTAATCCTCAAAAGAAGCAAGAAGTGTCAGCTTCCTGTCTCGTAAGTTTTCCTATAACCATACTCTGTTAGAGTTGTTGGCATGGTGAATTTTCACATGCTTCTTTTTCCCTTGGTCTTTGCTCATATTACATGCCTTTCTAATCCATTTTCGTTGACTGGCTTAGGCAATGTTCTCAACTCATTGATACAGTCAAGTGCTGACATTCGTTGCATTGGTTTTCTTAGTGCCTGCATAGTCACCACATCATGTCTTTACTTATATATATATGGGATTTGCACTACAAGGTTTTAAGCTACCAAGTATGCTTGTGATTAGCCACTGGACATTTCTAACTCTGAACTATGAAAGTTTTATTTAAGAGTTAATGATCTAAAGTTGAGACTAATTGGCATTTGAAAGAGGTTTGTAGGAGGCGGATACAAAGTCACAGTGCTAGGAAGGGACCTGGGGGAAGAAGGGGTGCCTGGGGGCTTAATGGAGAGTTATTGACTTTGTGCTTGTATGTCATTCTATTAGTAATTCGGCTGGTTTCCTGTTAAAAAGGCTGCAACATACTGCTTTCATTATTGACTGTGAGAAAGGGGTTGAGCTTGCTAAGTAATGCCCCATTTCATATCCAGTTTGGCGTTTGTCTGCCTTGTTTTTGTTTACAAAAGCTGCACAATACCATTAGAATTTTCAGATTGGTAGCTTGTTGTTGCTGAGAATGCCATTAGGATTTTCAGATTGGTAGCTGCTTGTGGCTGAGACTACTTTCGGTCTTGCTCCCCTCAGCTTTGTTCCCCCTTCAATTATTTAGATATGCATTCCTTTGATCAGTGTAGTGCCTTTGGATGAACTTTAGACCTGAAGCATTCTCCAATTATAGGGGACTGGAAGAGTGAAATTTGTTTGGATGAGGTTGCTCGACTAGCAAAAAGATAGGAACTGAGAATTATTATTAAATTGTCTCTCAGTCTCTTATTACCTTTCCCATGTCCCTGCGCATTATAGTGTCCAAAGTTCACTCTGCCAAGCTTACCATTCATTCAATTTGAATGCTATTTGTTAAGAACTCATGCTAGGTTTTTATGCTTCATGTAGCCCTTTTATGGATATGAAGAGTTGAGTTGAAAACAATTGCATGACTTTCATCCAAATTTCCTGTGTTAGATTGATGATGATTTGCGACGACTCCTGGAGCATGATAGCACAAAAGTTGAGGAGGTGATGAAGAGGCACGCTGATGAACTCTTCAAAACGGTAATCGTCTTTATTGTCCTACAGAATTTGGTACTTGGTTTTTTGTTTCTTTTAATTCTATATTCCTGAGATCATTATGCATTTCAAGTGCATATTGGAAGTTTTGGAGTACTGTGGTAACTTTTTCTTAAATGCACTTTGTAGATTGGATACATGGAGCAGAAACTTGAAGAATTTCTTGATCTTTTGATGTCAAACTGCAGGTATCTCTTTTCAAGTGTCTATGATTGGTTTCTTCTGGGTGATTGCTTTGTGAGGATGAAAATTGCTCTTTTTCTTTTGAGTGTACCAATATATAGTTAGACTTCATACTGTCTAGTTGAAGGCAAAATTGGGAGGATGGAACATTGGAAGTAGGAGGAATTTGTTAGCAAAGGAATAAGTGAATGGTTCTAGTTATTTATTTTTCTCTTCTTAGGGTGATTGTGGGGATGCAGCCCAGATCAATGTTGTCCATGTTAGTTTACCTTCTCTTCTACTTAGTTTCATGTGGTGACCAGCGTTTAAGGCACATCTACGTGTAAAGATGGATTTTCACTGCTCTGCCATACTGGTAATTGGAGTAGGCAAATCTCGTACCAACTGATTGATTCAAGCAGATATAACACTTATGTCCAGCTCAGAATGATGTTTACTTCTATTACTACATTTTTATGTACGATCTGTTGAATTGATTTAGCATTATCTCGTGTCACTTGAGATGAGAATATGCCTGTTTCCTGTTGGATGAAGGGACTGACTTTTGGTTGATTTTCCTTTCCCGTCATTACCTTCCCACACTAACTAACGTGCGTGCTACATATAATTATTACATTGCAGTTTTAACCTTGACATTGCAAATAAATTGACAGTGCAGTTTTAACCTTTTTGTTGTAAGGTTAATGACCCTGACAGAGAAGCAAGAGCTTCGGAAGTTGATCAAGAATCTACCCCAAGAAACATGGAGCGCATCGTGGAAATTATCCGACGTAGTAGACCATCAGCGAAATGTTCATGTGACGAGATACACGTGGATTTAGAAGAAGAGGTAAGAGCTAAAGAATATTTTACCATTAAAAAAAAAAAAAGAAGCGGAGAAAACTAAAGGCATATATATTGTCACAGGATTTCTTCCAGTTTGATTAATTGAATTCTAATGTGACACTTTGGTAGAGCAAGGAAACACTGTGGAGATTGTATTACTACGTGGAAGCTGTTGCGAATGCTAGGAAGCTTTGCGAGGCTCAATGAAACATGCAAAAGCCTAGCCTTCCCACTATTTTTTGCTTTTTCTTCTTTATGAAGAGTGTAAATCTCTGCTACTGCAGGTGACCTGGCTAAGTGTTGGTTTTTCAAGTTTTCATCGTACCGTCTTTCTTTGAATCGGATTCGGATTCCACAGGTTTAGCTGGCTGTGCAGTGTAGATTTGTACATGAATACTGGAAATTTTGCATGCTGACGTACAGTCTCATGCTGCGATTTTAGCTATTCCCATGAATGAGAATGACTTTGATCCTATATCATCGAATTGAGAAGGCAAAGTGCAAGGGGCAAAGCTATTCCCGAGTCGCATAATAATTGAAAAATTCCCAGAAAATGCAATCCAAATGGGTATACGTACAGGTCAAATTGAAGTTCTATCCAACAAATGTGCAGCAGAATATTGGAACCTCCAACGAAATGTATATATATGTACACGTAAGCCTCATTCATGTATAGGTTTGAAGTTCTTGTGAGCTAGTACTGCATAGAAGGGATCGGAACCCGAAACTAATCCCACTAAATTCATGATCCAACCGAAGGGGGCCGATTGCTTCTCTTGCAGGGTATGAGTTGGTAACTTGCGAATCACCTGTGGTTGGGTGAATCCCTCCACGCTTTGGAAATATTGCACCACCAGTTGAACACGGCCGTAGGAGGTCCCGTCTCTCCAGGCGCTAATTGCCTTTTCATAGAATAGTCGATTGCTAAAGCTCGCAATAAAGACTCCTCCGGGTCTTAGCACTCGAAATACTTCTGCAAACACCTGAAAATGCAACACCTACGTATATATTTAATCTCGTGTTTTAAAAGAAAAAATTACAAAATATTTGAGCATTTCCATCCGGCTCTTGATCCAGCACGCATCCTAAAATCCTTGTTGGATATAGTGAACAAGGCCAGGACCGACCTTAGTTCAGTTTTGAGCTCAAATGAATCCCAGCCTGGATCCTAATAACGTTTAGAATTTTTAGAGATTTGTTTGGCACCTTTTCTTCATGTGTAAAAGTGGTTACTTTGATTTGATTAAAAGTGATGCCTTACCATCTCAGAATTGTATGAATGTTTACGCTTCTTGGTTTCCTACATATTTGTCAGTCTCTTCACAAATTAAAACAAAATTTCACAATCGATCATTCTTGTGAGAAACTCGGGATATTTGCCATCTCCTTTCTCTGAATTTTGTTGTGTTAAAGGTAATTTATTGTGGGAAATAACTATGTGTATTAGGGAAATAACACCTTAGAGATGGCGTCAAACATGCCTCAAAGATCATCATTTACGTCCCATATTTTGTGACAAATTTCTGCACTTTCATATCAAGACATCAACAATGGGTGGTCGAAATGCCAAAAGTCGTGTTTTTGGATTCACTTCCTCTTGAATTTGTATCATTAACGTTGTTAACATGATTCAATTAGTTACCTTTTCTCATTGTGTACATAACTATCGCGAATGCAGGTTGGTTGCCAAGACGTCATGAACTTTGGCTTCAATATAGGCTTGGGGGGCAAATGGGCAACTTAAGTTCCTGGGAGTGTTTTATTAGTACAAGGAAAATGAAATCTTATAAATCTTGTCAGACTCATAGTTGGATTTGATGCTCTCGATGGAAAAAAAAGAAAAGAAAGAAAGGGTAAATAGAGAGCGGTGACTTCTCAGGCTGCTGAAGGTATTGAACGCTGACAGCGCATAACACTGCATCAAAACTGCAACTCTCGAATTGGAGCTCCTGCTCCCGATTAAGGTCTTCACAAAGAAATAATCCAGCCTGGGTTTCTGGCAAGCTCCACAGCATTGAGCCATGTCGACCACTTTCTTGTACTTGACCTCCGGGGGCAAATGGCTGACCCAAGAGCTCATAGGTCAAGAATCTCTGACTCGGGCTTCAAAACATTCCTGTAAAGATTGGTCAGGATGGAGATGAAATTACGATCCACGTGGGTAACAAAACGTGGGTAGGCGTAAAAATCTGGATCAGGTTTGGGGTTGAGTTTGGTTCTGCCTTGTTGAGTCAGAACTAGGCGCCTAATTTTGCCTGCTGTACTGATGATGATTGTTTTATTTGGTTATTATTTTCCTCAAGACTGGCATTACATTTGAAAATCAAATAATATTGTACTGCTACTTGTTTGAACAGAAAAGAGGTCGCCTCGGGGGTTGCTGGGAAAAGACGAATTGAAGTGGTTGGGGTTTTGGCGGAGGTTAAGCATCACTTCACACAGCCTAGAGTTTTTCTTAGCAGGGTGAGTGCGGAAAATGAGATTCTGCAGTCTCGCAAGAATTGAACAATTTAGGTGGATAAGCTGTTGCACGTGGCGAAACCGCCTCTTCAATTTTGTTATTATCCAGATGCTGTCATGGATTCCAGTTCGCGCTTTTGTACAAACCGTCCTAATGTGCGGGAAGTTGATCGCGCTTTTCTCTATATGGGCCTAAATGATCACTTAAGAAATGCTTTTTATATATATATATTATATATATTATATATATATATATATATATATGTAGTATTAATCTTTTTTAAATTAACAATGTATACACTATTAATCGATCTTTGATGAATGATAGTTACATAAAATTTAAATTTAAATTTAATTTTTATAAATAAATGTAACGGTGGGAGTCAAACCAACGGCCACTGATGCTGAATCATCTCTAACAGGTGTAATAATTAAGGTGCCCCCGATCATTTTCAACCTTTCGTTCGTCAGACGTCAGAAACCAAAATGATATTCTTTGTGTTATGTTTGAATGTGGTGGGTAATTAAAGCCGACACCCTCTTTTAGTTGCTTTATCCCGCTTCTTTGTCAACTAAGCTAAGTATATGCAATGTTTTTAAAATCGAACCGTTAATTGAACCGGTGAAGTGAAAGGGTCGAGGTTCACCGGTCGACCGATTCAACCTCGGTTCAATGAATTTTAAAAAAATAATTTATATAAATATATATATGCACAAAATAAGACATGTAATGGATAATTTAATACTTTATATGATAAAAAGTTTACTATTTTCGAATAACTTGGATTTTTAAAATAATTTTTTTAAATTATAAGTTAAAAACAAATAAATTTTATCTCAATTTCAATTATATCTACAAAAAATCTTAAATCCAATCCAAAAATATCACAATATTTGAAATTATACAAAATTCACGTCTATGAGAATTTAGGCATTGTGAACTTAAATTTTAATTTACGTTTTGAAATTTAGATATTGCAATTTAAAAAAGGAAGTTTGGAGTTCGAAGGAAATCAAGAGAATCGAAAATAGAAATGCAAATTTGATGAGAAACAAAAAATGAGATAAAAGTAAGTGGTTGTGGCATTAAATAAATTGGGTTAAAGAAAAATAATTATTTTTTAACTTTTTTTAATTTAATGGACAAAATAAAATTAAAAGATGGAAGAAAATATCAATAAATTAAAATAAAGAGGTTTGATTAAAAAATGAGTGGTAAAAGAAAAGATGAGAGAGAGAGTTGAAGATTAAAAAAAAAAAGCCATGAGATAAAAAGAAATGATGAGATGAAAAAAAAAAAAAAAAAATATGAGTGTTTGTTTTATATAAATAAGTTATAAAAAAAACTAATAAGATGTGATGGTGCAACGGTTACTACATTGGTCTTCTATTACAAAGGTCTTGAGTTCAAATTTTGATAACTGCATTTTGGAAAAAAAAAAATAATAAAATTGAAAACCGGAAATGACCGGTTCAAATCCGGTTCAGTGGTTTCGCGGTCCGACCGATTTTGACCGGTTTCTTGGCAACGTCAAACCTAGCATTGAACCGGATCGGTGCCATGGCCGGTTTGCGGTTCAATCTGTACCGATCCGATCCGATTTTCAAAACACTGAGTATATGACTTCATATTTATATTCATGCCCCCTAGTCAACTTGTCATATGTATGTGGACGCGCACGCATGTACTAGTGTTTGAGTCACACTCAATCAATGCATGTACAAGTATAATAAATATTTAAAACTATTTTAAAGATATTTTTTGAAATAATTTTTTATGGGAGTTGGTTTTATATTTTTACAATACACGCAGAAAATTAAATAAAATGTGCAATAGACCATTATTTGGCAACGGATAGCTATGATTAATGAAGAGAGAGATAGGAGAAAATGATGGTTAACTTATATACAAATAGAGAGAGTAATTTAGAAAAATCACAAGATGGCGGCTTTTTGTTTATATTAAAAGATCCGTTCACCTTTTATAAATATATGGTATAAATATTGATGACACCTTCATTTAACCATCTATTTAGCTCCCAGTCTTGCTGCTATAATTAATTAAAAGGTGAATTTTAGTGCTGAGTATACATACAAGATGATAAATACACGACTATTCTGGATTGTACCTTCATTATTGCTTTTTTTCAATTGGGGGACGATACAGGTGGTTGACTTCTACTTGTTGGACCTACGTAGATACTACAATTTAATGCTATTCTTTTTTTTTTTTTTTGGGGATGCAGTAGTACTTTCCCTTCAATTTCACCGACTCCTAATCGAGTAATTTTGGGACCCTCCACTGCACGTGCATCATCCTAATTGCACACGCATGGATGGGATTGTGCTGTCAAGTTCAGAAGCAACGTAAAGTTAGAGAAGGGAAATTCTTTTACTGGGGCCTGCGCCCTTTTGGCCTTTTTGGGCTCGTACGTGCGGCCTTTTCCTCCTATTAGAGGACAAATTTCATCATGCCTGTCTGCCTTGGCATTGGGCATAATCCTTGTTAAACGACAAAAATGTCTGGGCTTCTTCTAGCCATGCAAAAGAAAAGATAGAGACTCCATTTTATTTTTGGGAGAGGGACTCAACTGGGGTAAGAGTTGGTAATTAATTTGTAACTAATTACAAATTGTTTTATAACAGAAATATTACTACGCGCGTTCCTATCAATGGTGGAGCCACGTTAAGCTGAGGCTCTCAATTTTTGAGTAACTCTAAAATAACTTGAATATTATTTCACTTTTGTCCCCTTTGAATTTTGATAGTTGTCTCTATAAGCCCACAATGGTGAACCTTGAACTAAAATATATTGCATGATACTATTCTTTTCCCTTTTTATTAAATGTAATTTACCTTCTTTTTTTTTGTGAGCAAATGTTGTTTATTTAATATTTAACTTTTCTTACATGTCGATTTCATGGGAGTTACAAGCCAACCAAACATTCATTTGACAATTCAATTGTGTACAAATGATTTGCCTAATATACATGTTAATTAGAAAAAAAAAAAATATATATATATATATATATATATATATATATTGTATTCTTATGCATAATTTTATATTAGTGGATGACCTGAAAAATAATAATCTCAAATTGTATCCTTGGCTTACTATAACAAATACTATACTATTTAGTTGTTCTAGAAATATACAAATCAATACTTTATAAGTCTAAGTTAATATGATTGCATCCCTTGAATAAAGATCATGGCTCCATCGCTGGTTCTTTACATGTTGGTTGCATTAGAGTTACGTGGAGTTATCTTATCTTCACAACTTAAATCTTCTGGGACGTTGTCACAGTTCATGCCCTTGGTCCCTCCACTTCCCTTTTTCTTGTATTTTTTCCCTTTAATTAGGAAGGGAAAAAAGAAGAAGAGAACAAATTTTCTCCCCCCCTTTGGTCTAAAGGGAGCAAAAGGGGTTGCGCCTTTTCCACTTAGAAGCCGAAATATAGATTCTTGCTGCAATTAAGCTACTACCTAGTAGGTAGGAATTGGTGGTCGGATTTTCATTGCAGACATCGACATCAACCATAACAAAGCAACGAAGCTAGTCGACCGGCCTTTGGCTTTGATTGAATGGGAGAGTTGTATGTAGCAGACAGACCAAAGCTGCCCCATCTGGCGGTCCTTTGAGGAACCATCCTCGGTTGCTGCTATTTTAAGTTTGATTACAATATAATACGCATGCACGCACGACGTACTGGTGGCGATGGAAGAATAGTTTTAGGGACATCAGGACCTCCTGTCTCTTAATATAACAATAATATGTTTTACTCTGATGAAGAAGTGGGGAGACTAACTAATTGAGGAGGGGAAACCCATCGAGCAACAAACACTTGGGAAAAAGCTTTGACATTGGAAAACCAGTCTAGTGTAATTGATTTGGAAAACCAATAATATAGATGGAATCATGACTTCCAGATAACTCATAAATCCTGTGATGGTGGGGAAGTAATATGTAGATACCTCAAATGCCTGCTCAAAAAAGTTAATTCACGTCAAACTTGGCAAGAAATCGAGTGCTTTACTATTCGCTAATGATTTTGCTAGCTAGGACCCTTTTTTTTTAAAAAAAACTTTCACTGTGCTCTTATTCTTGGTGGTCTAGAAAGTCAGACAATCTGCCTTTCCCACGCACGGTTCATTTAACATAACCAAAACTTCCAATTGTAGTGTGTATCCCATAGAAATATTGCAATATGAATTGGTTCCTTTACGTCTCTGTACAGTGTACACTCAGCCGTCTTCTTGGGATGAGACTTGAGAGAGGGTCAAAAGCGTGCGTATACGCCCCGCTCGAAGAACTTTTACGATTTCATTCGTGTTCTAAAATCGGAATCCATCAATTGATTCAAATTGCATAATTTTGCTCCGATTCTATATTTAATTCAGAAAATGAAATGAATCGATCAAATCCAACCATACCAGTCAAAATCGATAACAAAAAAAAAACACCGGCCTTTGAACCGATTTTCACTAAATATTTCTTTATATATTAATTTTATCCAAGAAATTTAATAATAAAATAATTATAAAATCATTAAACCATAATTAAACCGATCAAATCAATTGAACCATATACCTAAAGTTCATCCGGTTCGCTTGCCGTTCTTGGTTTCAAAACATTGGATTTCACCGCATAACAAATGCATAAAGACACCAGGGAAATCAGAAATGACGATAGGTGATTGAATTATCTTTGCCTCAGCGAAAGACAAGACAGCACACGAAATGAAATGAAATGAATGAATGAGAGAAATAAGGCCTTGTTTGGCAAGCAGGTTTTTTGTCAAGTTTATCTGCTACAAATTTTTTAACGTCTTTAACCACAATAATCTCAAAAAAAATTCTCAAAATTTTAGATAAACATAAACAAAAAATTCACTTGCCAAACGGGTCCTAAATTATTTGGGCCAGTTGTGGAGACCCAATCATCTTCCGCAGATATATTCAAGATTTTGTTAAGGTACGTCACTATATACAAGTACATTAACGTACACGCTTTAACCCAAAAGAGTACATCAATATACAACCTATATTTCGGGAGAACAATTCCAAGAACATTGATGCGGTATCCTTGTCTTCAATCAATGTACTGTGTACTGTGTAGGATAGGACTTGTCTGCTTTCATCGACTTCGCTGTTCGGCTTGAATACGTGCATCATCTGTAGATTCACGGCACGTGGTTTCACTAATTTTACCTATTCTGATTTCCCCCAACCCCAAAAAAAAAGAAAGAAAGAAAGAAAGAAAAATATTGACACTTTTTCTTAAAAGGAAAATAGTGTAAAGCATTAAATGATTACGATAGAATTTTAAGCTTATAAAAGCTCACAGGGGAGCCGCTGCATTTTCTTGCAAAAAGGTCGAAAAACAAAATAAAAATGACGAGCCCGATATTATCCTGGTCTATTGTGCTACAACTCGCAATTGTTGGTTTTGCTCTCTTGTTAGGACTATTAGCATTGATCTCCATTTTCTCAAAATCCGCCCCCCTGCAGGTTAACCAAGCAGACGATACACCTCCTGGAAGTCTGGGATGGCCCTTGGTAGGAAAGACTCTTGAATATCTCAAGCCACATAAATCAAACTCCACAGGCCAGTTCTTGCAAGAACATTGCTCTAGGTACAAAACTCTTTTTTGTTTTTTCCTTTTCTTTTCCTTGGTTTCGCTTCTGGAACTGTCATCAATCGTTGCAGGTACGGGAGAGTGTTTAAATCCCATCTTTTTGGCAATCCAACCATAGTTTCATGCGATCTGGAGCTCAACACATTCATTCTGCAAAATGAAGGGAAATTGTTTGCGAGTAGCTATCCAAAATCAGTTCAAAGCATCCTTGGGAAACTATCCATGCTTCTTGTTTCCGGAGAGCAACACAGAAAGATAAGAAGTACTGCAGTGAGCCATATCGGAACGTCCAAGTCAAGACCAGACTTCCTTCGCTACATCGACAAGTTGTCAAGCTCGCTGATGGAGTCTTGGAAAGAAAGAAAACGGGTTCCCTTCTTTAAAGAAGCCAAGGAGGTCAGAGCTGTATATATTTGTTTATATATGTCGACCATTAAAAAGAATTAATTACTTACTCCCTAAATGTGTAACCATAAAAACTAGGATCTGGCTAAATTAATGTGTTTGTCTTGAGTAATCATAAATGCCTTTGTGATGGTTGTTTGTCTAAGCGTACATCTATTGTCGTACACTAATTTTATATATCCAATATTCCATCCAATGAAGCCATTATTTTTTTTGTTTTGGTAGTTCACCTTGCATGTAATGTTAAAGAATCTGCTAGATATGGAGCCAGGAGATCCAATTGCTCCAAGAATACTCCAAGATTTTCTTACTTTCATGGAAGGCTTCGTTTCTCTCCCGCTGTATATACCAGGGTCCCCCTATGCCAAGGCTGTCAAGGTAATTAATAGCAATGCTAGTAGTAGTGGTTACTGGCATCTGATATTTGAAATCACTGAAAATTACGCATTTCCATCACTCCTCGTCATGCACCAACTTAATTAAACGAGCCATAAAAATTCTCCACAACTAAAAAGTTCAGATCCATTGCATTCTGATCATAGAATCTAGGAATTACTTTTCTGACGTCGACATTGTTTTAACGAAGTTAAAGAATAAAAAAGAATGGGATCTTTAAAGTTATTCATATATGTCTGTTGAGCGCATGTTCGATTGTTACCTCCAGCAGTAAATCAATTGTATAAACATACACATTTCTCATGTATATATAACGCATGCGTTGTCTGATCCATGTATCGTCTCAGGCAAGAACAAGAATCTCATCGACCTTAAGAGTCATTATAAACGAAAGGAAAACGAGAAAGGAGGGATACTCAAGAGGGGACTTCTTGGACGAGTTTTTGCAGAAAGGCCACTTGGATGATGAGGAGGAAGTGAGCATTGTGCTGGACCTCTTGCTGGCCGGATATGAAACCACCTCAGGACTTATTGCTCTAGTTGTCTACTTTCTTGCTCAGGCACCCAAAGCCCTCCAACAATTAAAGGTACGTACGTACACACACACACTGTAGGAACCAAAAACCTCCTCCTCTGTCGTTAGACTTCTTCAGTACTCAGACATATACTTAACGTGATCAGATATAAACACATACACATATGTCTGTGTAGTAGTGTATGATCAGTTGTATTCCCTATATAATCCTTCTTCAGGATGAACACCGAAAACTGAGGGGAAACAAGGCGGACGGAGAACTCTTGGATTTTGAGGACTACAAGCAAATGGAATTCACCATGACCGTGCGTAATAAATTGAATCATGTTCTATGTTGCTCGTGCATTAGTTCTAGCATTTTTATAAGTGCACACAACTGATGATGAATTAATGCTGGAGTACTTTGTAATCTAAGGTTATAAATGAAGCCTTGCGTTGCGGCAACCTAGTCAAGTTTGTCCACAGAAGAGCTCTCAAGGACGTAAAATTCAGAGGTTCGCAATTTGACAAAGCTCGCCTTCATGGAATTTTGTGTTCTATTCTCCTAATTTTGATTAGTTTTAAATCACGGGAAATCTTCTTACACTGCTGCTGCAGAATATGTGATTCCTGCAGGGTGGAAAGTTCTTCCTGTCATCTCTGCCCCGCATCTTGATCCAGTTCTCCATCAACATCCCTCCGTGTTCAATCCTTGGAGATGGGAAGTAAGTAGCTTTTACGAATCCCCATGCACTCCCATTGTAGCTGAATTTCCAGAATTTAATTAATCTCATCCCAAGCACTGCTTGGACAATTGTATCCTTGACCGCAGCGCAGATACTAATATTGTTTCAATATTTGAATCCTTTGCAAAATATGATCAATGATACAACTTACCTGGGAGATTAGAAATTCTCAATGTTGTTTAAAAAATGGTGATGAAGTACCAGCCTTTGGGCTGGTAGCCACCACCAAAACATAAAACATTAAAGCTTGGTGGGGTCCCACCAATTGCCACATTAAAAGTGGCTTTGCTTAAAAAAATTCAGGTGGATGCGTAGTGCACCCATTTGGTCCGGTGATAGTTCAGTCCCCTCCAGACAATCTCTGAACCTTCTTAGGTCTGTCCCCTTCCCCTAGCATAGGATAGATTAGATTATACAACAGTTATCGCCTTTGGGGAAAAAAAAATTTAAAATGATGATGCATGCGTAATCAAACATGGTGCAACGGTCGTATCGATTCACAATATGCGTGTATATATATATATAAAAGATCAAGAACACAATTTTTTTTTACACTCTAGGTTAAAATAAATTGTAGCATGATGGATTGCAGTTGGCTATGGCGGTAACTTTAGCCCGTTAATTATGCAGGACGAAGCAACAAGCAAAAAATTCGCGCCCTTCGGTGGTGGATTGCGACTTTGTCCCGGTTCAGATCTTGCTAAACTTGAAACCGCTTTCTTCCTACACCATTTCGTCCTAACATACAGGTAACCCATTAATGATTTAGCGTAGCATGCACTGCATCCGTCTGATCTAATAATGGTTTAATCCCCATCAATTTTTCAATAGATTCAGTTAGGTCTTTCCCTAAAATAAGTTAGAATAGGGGTGGAATAGATGTTGACGATTGATCCAAAAAAATAAAACTAATCTAGCATCCAAGTTGGTTAAATATGATTTTGAGGAAGTACATCTCATAGAAATCTGAATTATTATTAAATAGTAGCTGGTGTCCAAATTATTATGGACTTATACACTTTCATATGTGTGTGTGTTTTTTTTCCTGTTTTGGGTTTTATTCAGTTGGAAAATAAAAGAAGATGAATGCCCGGTATCTCACCCCTATTTGGAGTTTAAGAGAGGCCTGCTGCTGGAGATAGAGCCGTTGTGAAAAAAAAAAAGAAAAAAGAGAAAAGGAAGCCTAACCGGTACAAGGCAGGGCTTCGGCTCCATAGTTTCATTTTCTATATAATTTGTTTAGGGAGAAATTTAGCATTGGAAGGAGAAAAAGAATTAAGGTTATCCATTGGTGTTTTTAGTATATAATTTAGAAAGAAGGTTGTTATTATTGTTAAGTTGGAGCCATTTTTAATGGAATTGAAGGTTTCATGGCAATCACAGACTTGATTGGAGTTCGAAAGTTGGGTCGCATTTCGTTTTGAATCCTCAGTCTATTTTTTTTCTATCTCACATTCTAAGATGTGCGGAAAAATGCTGAATCATTTTGGCCAAGCACTTGTAAAACTGCCTTGAGACTTTGGCCGGTTACATTATGATTAAACTAAGGAGGAGGCAAAAGAATTTACACAGCTTCTCTTCTCAATCAAATAAATATCAAAAGGAGCACGGAACGGAAGGCCTATTAGTCAATTGATGACCATTTTCTCTCAAGTTCTTGAATAGAAAAACATAATCTATTCTAATTGTAATGTCGAAACGTGGCTCAACTCTATTTTCTATCCAATTACCAAAAAATAATGATACCAATTCTAATCTAATTATCAAAATAATAAACCAAGTAGGAAGATCTTCTTCTGATTGAGGGAGGCAATGCATGATACTAGTATTCTATTATTTGGGAGTTTAACATCTTCTTCTGCCTGTAATGTATACATACACATGTTGTCGCGAGAGAAAGTGCCGATGGTTCAAGAAATAAAATATCGGTCGCTGCCAAATTCATATATATCTGTCTTCGTTTCAAAACCGCCGCGCCGCTGCTCATTATTTTATTTCCAAGGTCAGTCTTTGTTGCATATTTCTGTGGGTTAATTTCCTACAGAACCCACCCACCATCAAGGCCGCCCACTAATTGCGGATGAGATTTTGGAATGGGAACACGCGCAGTTAAAGCGTTTATTTTTTATTTTCTCCGTATGGGAGAGTCAACGCCCGCTGCCCCCCCAACCAGCCTCCAGAGCAAATGGTAGCCGTAGTATTTGGAGACACATTACCGTCTTTTATGAAGATGCAATAGGATTAATAATTTCAACGCATCTATTTGTTCTTCTACATACATTGCACCCTATAATAATAATAAGAAGAAGAAGGGAAAAAGGGGCAAAAGTTGGCTAATTATCTCACAGCTTAGGATCCAGAGCTCAAAGAAACGTTCCCGACAAAATTATGCTTCAGTCCAGTGTTCGTTCTTAAATTTTGCTTCAGAAGAAACAATTTGGCTAATTATCTGCCTTACCGATATAAGAAGACTGTAAAATCATCATTTGATTTTTGATTGCAAACGATTCAGAGACACATTATTTTTGCTCAAGACAATAAAGGAACCACATAGGAGCGCAAACTGCAGAAAAGTAGTCCACAGGGTTAGTTTATTTGCTATCCTCCTACAACGAATCTTAGAACCGCTACCGCTGTACAAGAAAAGATGACAGGATGCTCTTACTCTCAGCCAAGCCGCTGTTTCCAACTCACTCCCAAGAGTCAGTTGCATCTTCTGATGTTACTATTCGGCACTGAAACCCCCACTCTTTCCTCCTTTTAGCACTCGAAACGATCCAAGCAACCAACTACCTCTCCTCATGAAACCGCCTTTTACACACATACAAACAAATCATAAAAGAATTTGGAACGCTAGCTAGCTAATAAAAAATGGCAGCAGACACGCGCTGTCGGTGGATATTGATGTTGTAGAGATGCTGGCTTAGTAGAGCTTTATTCTGGTCTGAATTGGACTACGACAGATTGGGCATACGTGAAGATCTTGTCCGCAATCGCAACACGTCTGGAGAGAGAGCACATATATAAGGCACATTTTAGTACTATAGACAAAACCCAGAAATCTTGACAGACTTCTTGTCATTGGAAACTACTTTCTTCGTACCTGATGACCACAACCAAAGGCCATGTCCTTCGAGTTACTAAGGCAAATAGGACAAAGCTGTAGAAGACCAAGTTAGAACATTAGCACGTCTTAATGACATTCTCAATCCACAAAACCATTTGCTTGACAACTCCCAACACCAGCAATTCAATATTTTCCCAGCAAGTATCTATCTTTCACAGACCATCCACATGCATATTATGATTGTAGGGTTGCTAGGTAGGTATATACCTGGCTCTCGTAAGTAGAGCTTGGAGCAGATGGAGCCGCGTCAAAGGAGCTGCTGTGGTCATAATAAGAACTTGTGCTCTTCTGGAAACTAGTTGCCCGTAAAGGTTTCTTGTCACTGAATGAAGCTGCGCCGTACATAGGAGGTGGCAGCGAAACCCTTCCAGGAGAATAGCCTTTCCTCCCACTGCACCATACAGTAGGAAATGATAAGTTTTAGATAAAACAAAAACTAAGATCCAATCAGAGCAATGATTTCCCCCTTCTGGTGGGTAGAAAAGGCTAGGAGAGAAAGGAGGGTCGGGAAGGAAGCAGTATTTGTTACCCTAATAAACCAAGCTCCATTGTTGCTTTATATTGAGCAGGGATCTCCATCAAAGCTGAAAGCGCAAATTCTGTCTCTTTTCGAGATTGAGGTACATTTTTTGCCATGATTTCCGTAAAATTGACAAACTGAAGATTAGAAAGAAATTTTCAGCAATTAATCAGACTGAATGAAACCGATGAATACAGTCCGTGTATAGGTAATAACATACGCTGAAATCCCCCTACATGCATCCCACCACCCAAAGAAAGAAAAAAAAAAGGACTAAAGGAAAATTTCTGACCTGAAAATTATCAAAGTCTCGAGCAGGAATGTTGTCATCAAATTCCTTCATCATGTCCCAGGGTCCATCTCCAACCCCAACTAATATTATGGACAAGGGAAACTTGCTGGAAAAAAAGGGAAAATAAAGATAATGAACTCAATGCTACAAGAAGGACACTAACTCATTTAGCCTGAAGGGGGAATACAAAAGAAAGTAGAACTTTACTATCAACCTGACTAAATTACCTGGCTTGCACAATTGCTTCAACAGTTTTCTTTTCCTGGGGACTCAATTGACCACGCCCAGTGTCAACGCTTCTAGTCACCTGTGATGATAATCAATCCTTGATGAAACATTATACATTCAACTGACAAAATGATACCTTCTAGTATGAAATTAAAAGCATAGCACTAAACCTTGTATAATTGACTATTTCAGTATACAATCAAGATAAAAAGCAAAACAATTTGAATGTTTGGATACATAATTTCTTTTCAGATTAGTTTCAAAGTATAACACCTTTTAATCTCCAAATCTCATCTATAGAGCTTCTTCATAAGCCAATTCATCAGAGGAAATCCTTGCACTGGAATATAAAACCAAGGTCCCCAGACAATACAAACTCATAAAACAATTGCATGATGGGATAACAAACCAGAGAAGAGGCAAGCCCAAGTATAGGAGTAACACAAGGCAGAGGCCATAAATTGTCTTGGAAACTTCTTAACTAGAAACATAAGGCAGAGGCCATAAATTATCTTCTGCCCATTCCACTCTGAACTATTTGAATGTAACCCAAGACTTTTGGGAGCAAAAAGGGAAGCAACAGATTGAACCTTCAAGTCACCACAGACATTATATTGGGAAAACACAATTAAACAACTTGATTTCCTAGCCTGATTTACAACCAGGATGGCCAAGAATATATGATTACTTTAGCCTCCATCAGAACACTAGAAGTCATATCAAATGAGAGATATTACCAGCCAATTCATGAACAAGTACACGGCTGATCAGGTCAGAAATCCATGTCTTGCTCTACTATTGATGTATGAACAAATGTCTGAATGAATGAATATTAATTCCCAAACAGTGCTCGTGCTACTAGTCATTTCTGCTATCAGACTAGTAAATACTAATACATTATCAGATCATCTTTCTCCATACTAGCAGTAAAACTATTACTATTTTCTGAAGACAGACAACTTTTCTAAAATTCGACGCATCAACAGTCAATAGGAAAAAGTTCTCTTAAGAAACCCTCACAGAACAACAATAGAAAAGGTGGAGCTAATTCCATTTTTAAATACAGTTCAATTCTCTTGCTTTGAACCCCTCCAACAACCACAGTATGAAGACTACATTGTCAATCTAGAATAATCCTGTTAGAGTGTGTGTGTGTGAGGGACAGAGAGATCGCATAAAACTGGTATTAGCCACCAGAAATTGGTTGTATAAAGTCTGTTTACTGCCAAGCAGCAAGTATACTACTAGGTAAAAGGGTTGCCTTTTCAATGAGATGCATCTTTTCATAAAGTATGCCATCAATTTATCATATGATGATTTAAATTTCATTCCATTGGATTAAAGGTGAGCTCAGAGACAAAAGCATACCTGCCCATCTGCAATAATCAACAGGACATGATATTGTCCTCCACTTTGCTCAACAATAGTTGTGGCCATTTCAATAACAGGAGCAAATGATGTCGGTCCTACATCAGAGTTTATCCAAGCTTCAGTTAGTTATATAAACTATCAGCTCAATTATTAGAACTGTATAACAACTGGATAAGTGTAAGTCAAACCTGCAAGTTTCAGCTGAGGAACTATCTCTCTGTAGCAACTCAATACTTCCTCAAATCCATTACACACTCCATCATCAGGATAGAAGCTGAATACATCTTGATCATGTGTCGATGCTGGGAAAAGTTTCAGAAATGTATCAAATAACCGAATACCGTTGGGGGAGGGGGGGGAGGAAGGGTAGGGGGAGAGAGAGAGAGAGAGAGAGAGTACCATCTCCAAATCCATAACAGGGGATCTGGTTATCCTCATCAAAAGCTGCCAATGTTTTACCAATAATAGATATTGCTTGTTCGTAGGGATTCAGAGTATTTCCAATGTGATGTAAGCTTCGCCCATGAAATGACCTCCTACCTGATGATGGATCCAAGTTCAACATATTAGTGAACCATAATAGTAAATGAAGTTTGCAGACAAAATGCAAGATTCTGACCTGTCCATTCATTACTCTTGGTGAAGTCAATACCGACAATGAGATTTGAAGATTCAAGGCCAGCACGGGCAAGAGCTTCAGTCACCTGCAGAAGAAACCATGTCATACTTTAGCAGATTAAGTTTTACAGAGACATAACAGTTCATTTTGACCACCTTTCGACGGGGCCAGTACCAGGGTTTTGGTTGACGAGTTTTAAGAAGAATTTTCAGAGGACATGGATAATGGATATCATATGCTCAAAAAAATCAGTCAAAACCCACGAGATGGGAATATATCTCCATAAAAGAAAAGCAGAACAGAAAGGTTTGATGCTCAGTCCAGGAGGGTTTTAGGTGCTATATAGTGTTGGTGCAATCAGTGTTTCCAGGAATATTACTTGCTAAAGACTAATATTTTCCCCTTTTATTTCAAATTTTTCCCAAGAATTTCAAGCCTATTAATGAAATCCAGCTTTTTTCTCATCTGCAAAAGGACCTTTTTACCAAGTGCAACGTGAGATGCATGTACATGAAATATTGGACTCTAAAAGCTCCAGATTCAGATGTGCAACTATGCCCTGGCATCTATGCTCATACCCCTCATACCTCTTCCAATGAATTATAATTGTCAGCAATCCTTGAATACCTCCTGTCAAGCTTCCTCTCCGCAGCAGGCGCCTGACCCCCGTAGCCATAACTCTGGAAGAGGTACCCTGGTAATGGTGTTGCTGCTGCTGCTGCGGTGGTGGTGGTCCATATGCCGGAACAGTAGGCCGAGAGGGGTAACTATAACTATCTTGCTGATATGATTGCGGGTAACTATCTTGTGAATAACCCACCGAGGGAGGGTACTGGTTGTATTGATCCCACGATGACGATGATGAAGATTGCCTCAAATTGTTGTCCCTCGAATTACTTGCCCCCATCAAGTCAAACTTATCTACGAAAATCTCAAAACTCTTAAAAATAAAAATAATCCTAATTCAGCAGATCAAAAGAGAAAAAAAATCTCCAAAACAATCACCCCACCCAAATAAAACCCGCCAAAAACAAGGATGAAATGAAAAAGGAAGAAATCCCAATTGTCAACACAAACCAAGTTTCCTCTATATAACTTGTAACAAGGCCCCGGAATGGCGGCGAAACGAAATAAAACGGTCAAAAGTAGTTTAAGGAGACTTTATTTGAAGGTATGAAAGCCTGGCTGGGCGAGAGAAAATTCCAAAATAAAACGTGTAATGAAGCCGTGGAAGAAATAAAAAGGCGGCCGGCTGGTAAAGCAGAGAGAAGACTTGTATGCGAAGGACAACCGCCGCACCGACGTATCTCCTCAGTTAATCCTAAGAGCCTTCCCAACGTATTCAACTAGGACTTGGTACTTGCTGCTTTCGGAGAAAGCGTCTACTAGTATCCTAACGCTACTCAACTATACTTGCTATTGTCTGAATAAAATCCAAAACCCAAAAGGTCAAGAAATATGGCAACACACGTAATAATAACAAATTGCAAATCTGTATACACCAGCCGAAGGAAAGAAACGTAAATCGATTCATCGACCAATGACTTGGAAGATAAGCCAAAAATTAAAATGAAAAAAAAAACCAAGTCAAAACCGTAAACATATTACAACCATTTTGACCCTTTTTGTTTTCGATTCAGAATAGATGAAAAGGTAACAGATTTTCTTCAGCGCTTAAAATAGAACAGTTTACGACTCTATTGGACATCAAATCGAAACCCACATTCGTCTTCGAGATCTGATTGCGCATGATGCTGTTATACTAGTTGAAGGGTTCTGTGTTCTTAGGAAGAGAAAGAAAGAAATGGCAGAGAAAATGGATGATTACAAGAAGACAGACCTGAGTAGCAGGAGACAGATTCTCTGCTGCATTATTCTTCTTCTTGTTTTCCTTTTTCAAGACGAGGTGGTGGAGGAGGAGGAGGAGGAAGTTGCCTATCACGGGATGATGTACAATAATGTTAATAAAGAGGAATCCGGGCTTCTCTGTTGGAAGATCGAATCTTTTGAAGCAATCAAAGGTGGAAAAATGATTATGTTAGTTAACTGCAAAAGAATTTTAGAAAATAATTAAAAAAAATGGGTAAAAGGCAAAAAGGCGAAAAGATGATAGACTTTTGCATTTATGGGAGTTTGCGGCTTTTTGGCAACCGTAAGCACAATGGAAGTTTCACAATTGCTATCACTTTGGTTTTAGAGACTAATCTTTGTAGTTTGTAGTAAGTAGTAGCTATCATTGCCCTTTTTCTTTTTTCCTTTTTTTTTTAATCCAACCGAAAAAGTCCTAACGCTTACCCACGTCACCTTCCTTGCGATTTCTGAAAATTTCAAGAAGCTCCTTTCTAATTTTGAAAATTACACATCCTTCCCTTGAGTTTGATATTTAGGTCATAGAATAGGCCCAGTGAGCCAGATTTTGCAGTTATCATAAAATACCCTTTTTTGAGAGAGAGAGAGAGAGAGAGAGAGTGTGTGTGTGTGTGTGTGAGAGAGAGTTTGCTAATTGCCTTATTCCATTTAAAGACTACTTCCAGCCAAGCAAATTTTCTAAGTTTCTAAACCAATAATGCCTATCTCAGAAATTAATTCAATAACCACAAACCCCAAAATCCAATTATGCTCACTGTTGCATATGAGCTTAACTTAAACACAGCTCCATGCTTGCTTAAAAAGTTAAAATGAATACTTAGAGGACAACTAATCCCATACCCCCAAATTCCTTTACATCTTCTTTCTCTTTGTCCAAAGCCAATCAGCAACATCCTTTCTTTTAATAACCTAATTCTTGAAATCCATATATCTATCTTCCCAGCTCTTGATCTTTAAAAGCATCAAATTCCATTATCCATTACTAATCAAATCACAAAAGAAAAAAAATAAAACAAGAATAGTCGAACCAACTCCATGCACAACATTTAAAAAAAAATTCCAAATCCAGAGGGATGGATAAATGTAGAGGGAAATAATAAAAGAGAGGAAGTGGAGCAAATGGCAATAGAAATATTAGTTGATGACGTGAATATAAATAAACACCAAAAAAACAACGAAGAAAAGTTTAGAAGAATAAACTGTCACAAGTGAAAGGAGGGAAGGGAAGGGAAAAATAGACAAAGTGAAAGTAGGAGAGGATAGGAAAGTGTAATTTCAAAATATGGGGGCATGCTTCTTGAAATGGTCACAAAATTTTGGGGAAGTTTACGAACTTATCCCTTGTAAGAGACAGCCCTTGTCATGTCATGTTATTTATTTGTTAGTGTGACGTTCAAGAGCGGCAAAAACTTGGGTAGATTCAACCTACGGCCCTACACATCATCGACCGAATAGTTAAAAATTCACATCACTTCACTAGTAATTCAATCATTAAATGCACAATGAAAAAGTGATAAAATTTGGCTACTAGGCCTAGTAGACTAGATCCATCCAAGTTTTTGCCTTCAAGAGAGAAAGATTTGTTTATAGTATACGTAGAAATGGTCAAAACTACACCAATTAAAATTTACTTGGCTCTCCTTAAGTAGTTTATTCCAGTTGACTTATTTTTCATAACTCACAATGCACTAAGAGAAGGGATGGATAAACAAGAGTCAATAGAAGATTTGGAGGAGACCGAACTGTCACCGAACTAAACAAGTACATGTACACTCACTGATAAAAATTTTCAAGAAAACCTAATTGAGAATGCAAGATTGGGGAATTGATCTCCCAGTCTGCGGCCAATGACGGAATTAAGTCTCTTTCTCTGGTGACCAACTCATTTGGACTAAGTTGGTTTCCACGACACAGAATCTAGTGCGAACCAAGAAGAAAAAAAAAAAAAGATTCCACTAATGTTTACGAAATGGTTAAAGCACGTACGGAAATAACACTACTATTACACTTAGAAATGAAAATGCAAATCTCACCTTTAAATTGTAGAAATACTAATTTTTTTGTCATAAATAAAAAATTTTCACTCATTTTCATTAATTCATTTTTTTTTAACAAATATTTAAAGTTTTGTTGCACCAGAGGTCAATTCTACATAACCTCGAGTTCGTCCATTTCGACGCGTGGCTGATAAGCGAAAGGCCCATTCTTACCCTGAAGGCCGGTAGTCTTTGGACGCCCAACTGTCACCTGAACTTTTAAAAAAGTTGGATATCTCCTGAGCCTCGACCCGATGGGCTTAAGGTTTGAAACATTACTGTGAAGGAAGCAACCATGCAATATATATAGTAACATATCTGAGTAAAACCATGCAATATAGTAACACCAATGTATCGCCTTAGCATTTCCGATCTATCAATGTGTACTAATCTATGCGTATTATAGTACCTTTCTTGTAAAAGTGTAGTTATATACATCACTAGTCAATTTGTTGTTGAGGTGCACCATAATGATTGAAATAAACATGTGATTTTTTACCTTTTTTTTTTTTTTTTGGGCATCTCTAGAGTGCAATACCTTCTATCTTCACTAGTATATTCATTCACGTTGGAAAGAAATGAAGAAAATATTACTTCATCCGTCCCAGTATTGGAATCGATTTTTAGAAATTCATTCTTTTATGAAGAGATAATAATCATTGGTACTGATAAATTTATATATATGTATCTTTTAAATTAAAAATATTCCCTCGCTAAATATGCATTAAAATTTTAAAAGATTACTTTTTTAAATGATAAAATTGAAAAATACATGTTAAATTTAAAATGATCGCTTTCAAACAGCTAAACATGATGGAGGACTGCAACGTGATCGAGGTATTGAAGTCTTTGTGCGTGTTTGGTTGTTTACCATGCGTTCGGGCCCTTCCAGTGGCGACCAATGTCAATTGTGATTAACACCACAAGATATCTGTCCCGTGCGTTACGCACCTTACATACAGAATTTAAGACCCCCCAATTATCGCGCAATTATTCGATATGATGCCAGAAATCTATACCGTGCCCGGGATTTTTTTGGGTTAGGGGATGAGATATCAACGGCGCATCTCTCACGTCCAGTGCTGAAACAAGGATAAAAGTCCCACCTAATCCATTCCCAGGACTAGGAGGAGGCTAGCTGGTGATGGTGTACAGCTGCTACGGTTGACAGCACAACGGCGTTCAGAGGACGGAAGTATTTCCATCGAATTTCCTAATTCAACATAAGATTGTGATTCCCGAGTGAAAGGATCTTTTTATTCCAGACAAGGAAAGTCGCAGATTTTTGGAAGTTATACTAGTAATAGTTAAAAGTAAAGTCCACAGTATCGCTAAGTGCCTTATATAAGACAAATCGCAGCGACGACAAAGATTACATTCTACTAGTAGTATATATTCCTTGCTTTCTAGTTGAGGTTGAGAAGAAATGGATCTGCTGCTGCCCAACTAGGGTTTTTAGCTCGAGGTTCCGGCAGCTGCAGCAGCACCGAAAAACCAAGCAGAGACGAAAAGGTTTGACTGGGAAAAGAAAATGAGGCAAAAGAACGAGGTTATTAACACATCCAAGTTGTTTAAGTTTCTGTTAATCGGGCTAACTGTGTTTTTGGGATTGGTTTGTCTGTACAATGGTTCGTCCTTCGCTCCACGTCTGCCCAGAGCCGACGACCCCCTAGAGGACGGCGCCGATCCAGTAACGGGCCGCTTCCTGCCGAAGCGATACTACTCGGACGAGTTGCCGGAAGACCAAGAGCGTAACCCTGAAGTTCCCAGAAGCATTCCTGTATGTCTCCAATTGTTTATTTGTTTCTTTTGAAAAGTTTGGTAATGATTGTTGTATGGCCTCTTTCTTTTTTTTTCTTTCTGGTGAAAAGTTTGGCAATAATTGCAAATGCATTTTTTTGTGGTTCTATTAGAAATCCTGCATTTGGTGACGTATATGTATATTTTTTAAAGGTTTGTGATTTGAATCATTCGGAACTGATCCCATGCTTGGATAGAAACTTGATATATCAACTCAAATTGAAGCCTAATTTGACTTTAATGGAGCATTATGAACGCCATTGTCCGCCTCCTCACCGGCGGTACAATTGTCTCATTCCACCTCCAATTGGCTACAAGGTTGGTAATGCCTCTATTCGTTTTGTGCTTTCATTTCTTCGGTAAGCAAAAGAGAAGGAATTGATTTCTTCTCTTTTCTCGATATTAACTGGACTTTTTCGATGTGTCCTACACATGAGTTCAAAGTTCCCTAGTTCTGCTCTCTGGATGTACTACTTATAAATGTTGCGACTATTTTTGCTAGTTTTCATTTAATGAGGTCAATTTTAGGAGTCCAGATCCCAATCAAGTGGCCTGCAAGTAGAGATCAAGTATGGAAAGCCAACATACCTCATACGCATCTTGCTCAAGAAAAATCAGATCAAAACTGGATGGTGGTTGATGGGGAAAAGATCAGGTTTCCCGGTGGAGGAACCCATTTCCATTATGGTGCAGACAAGTACATTGCGGCAATTGCTGGGTACAGCATACTCAGCCATTCCATTACGTTTTCTGCTAGTTCTTCTTTTCGAGTTTTTACCGTTACGGTTTGCATTCTTTGCAGATGCTTAAGTTTCCTGATGAAAAGCTGAACAATGGTGGGAATATCCGTAATGTCCTTGATGTGGGTTGTGGGGTTGCAAGTTTTGGGGCATACCTTCTTCCTCTTGATATCATCGCTATGTCACTGGCACCCAATGATGTGCATGAGAATCAAATCCAATTTGCATTGGAGAGGGGAATCCCCTCCACTCTTGGTGTTTTGGGCACTAAGAGACTACCTTATCCAAGTAGATCATTTGAACTGGCTCATTGTTCCCGTTGTAGGATTGATTGGCTTCAGAGAGATGGAATCCTCTTGTTAGAATTAGACAGGTTGCTCAGACCAGGAGGTTATTTCGTGTACTCATCACCTGAAGCTTATGCTCATGATGCGGATAATCGAAGAATTTGGAATGCCATGTATGATCTTTTGAGAAGAATGTGCTGGAGAGTTGTTTCAAGAAGAGATCAAACTGTTATATGGGCTAAGCCTTTTAGTAACAGTTGTTATAGAAAGAGAGAACCTGGGACTAACCCCCCTTGTGCAGCTCTGACGAGGATCCAGATTCCACTTGGAATGCGCTCATGAAGGCTTGCATCACTCCATACTCTGCCAGTGAGTAGCATTAATTCCTATGAGCTTTTTCAACTTTTTAGGTCAGTGTAGAAATTAACTTGCATTGAGAGAATTGAGATGTGGATTGCTATTTTGTCATCTGGTGGATTTTTGTTTATTTTCTTCATTGCTTAGTCATCATCCATGTCATTAAAATTTGTTACAGAGCTACTGAATTGATCTTATCAGTTTGTATCACATCAGGAAAATAAGTTGGAGAACTGGTAAATTATTTTTTTTTTGCTTTTCAGATCTGGAAGGATTCTATTCCAATGAATTATTACACTTTAACAAGAAATGAATATACAAAAAGTTTCTCAGAGAAATCTTGTATATCCAAGTTGGATATAGAGTTCAGGAAAATTGCCCAGATGATAGTGGCCGATGTTGATCAACTACTTCAGAATTTTTCCGCCACTTGTTGCAACTTGGTGAAAAATAATTAAGTATTCTTGTATCCAGTCTACCAAGAAGAAAGAATGGATTTTACTAGGATGGATTTGCTTTTGTGGTTATTCTCTCTGCTGCATCAACAAAGGTTTATGCTCTTTGGATGCTGAATGCAGTGGTTTGATGCTTTCTCGATAATGTATCAAGATATCGACTTCTGGCAGCTGTATAGTTCCTATCCTCTCCACCAAGGATAAAGGGAAAAAAAAGTTTCACAACTTCTGAACACCCACCCTTAGCTGTAAAGTTGTTTTTTTTCTGAGATCTGTGGAGAAATAGTCTATGGAACTATTGGTTTTGGATTAGAAATGTCACCTTTTTCTTTTGCAGGGTGGTGCAGAAGGCAAATCTGAACAATCTGTAAAAGATACCACAAAATTTTCATTTAATTATCCTGTCATTGAGTTGTTAGTTCTGTTGTTATATTATTGTATGCGATAGACTCCGTTTTTCTTATAATAGTCATGAAATGCTTATCTGTGAAACCAGGGATGCACAAGGAAAAAGGAAGTGGACTAAAACCTTGGCCACAAAGGCTTACTGCAGCTCCCCTTCGCCTGGAAGACATTGGTGTCAGTCCTCAGGAGTTTCTGAAAGATACTGTGAGTTAAGGGAACACATACTGTCTTTAGAATGCCTTTATATCTTATCCTTCTTTTTTTTTGGGATAACATGAGCCTGTTTTAACCTACTAGATCTTTATGAAATGCAGAGCATATGGCATGACAGGGTTGTTGACTATTGGAAGCAGATGAGATCGCTTATGCAGAGGAACTCATTTAGAAATGTCATGGACATGAATTCAAACCTTGGTGGGTTTGCTGCTGCTCTCAGAGATAAGGATCTCTGGGTGATGAATGTTGCTCCAGTAAATGCTTCTTCTAAGCTTAAGATCGTATATGATAGAGGCCTAATTGGCACCGTTCACGACTGGTAAGCTATTGTTGCGAGCACAGATATTTGGGTTCCATATGCATCTTTGAATGCAGCATTTGGGTGATAGAGGAAACTTAAAAAGAAGACAAGCACCTTTTTTTTTTTTCCTCTTTTTTAAAGTTCCATCAGTAGATTTGGAATTATTACAACCATTTATGACGTTGCAAACTGATTATAGATGGGCAGGGTAATGGTTTCGCGATCCGTTCTATGGAATCTTTTGTTATTAATGAGTGAACTGGTAGAGGTCTAGGCTATAGGCCAAACTCCCATTGGCATTTTTTGTCTTTTTGGCTAATCCTTTGTAAATGGAAACTGAAGCTATAGAAACCAATTGGCAAGCATGTCTGATATGAAAAGTTTTTGGTTGCTGTTATGCCGGTTGATCTCCAATTGTAAGCCCATTTACAGGTGTGAATCGTTTTCAACCTACCCTCGCACTTATGATTTACTTCATGCCTGGGCCTTGTTCTCGGAGATTGAGGAGCGTGGATGTAGTACAGAAGATCTTCTGATTGAAATGGACAGAATCCTACGGCCAGAAGGAATTGTCATCATAAGAGACAAACTTTCAGTTATAAACTATGCAAGAAAATTCTTGACTGCCTTAAAGTGGGATGGTTGGATATCAGAAGTGGAACCTAGGGCTGATGCTCTCTCGCTAAATGAAGAAAGAGTTTTAATTGCAAAAAGAGATTATGGCAGGTGGAGCTCACAATGTTATGAGTCTGCTTGCATTTTGGGTAGGTAAGTAATGCATACAGATATGAAATCAAGTTTTTGTTTTTTAAATGTGACTGATCCATGATCTAATGCTCATCCTTTTGAGTTTTTTGAAGCAACCGTTTTGAATGTACGAAGTATATATCTAGTTGTAAGTGGGAAACGATGCAATTTTGATTGTCCAGTTTTCAAAATTCGGTTGATACTGATTGATCCTGTCACAGACACACACTTACTGGTATATGTTTGCTTATTTGGTTTATGTGTCGGCAAAGCATGGAAAGGCTCGAGGTGCTGTAGTGGTTGGAATTAGCATTATGCTGAGAAGTATTTTTTATGTGAAAAATGTGACTCGATTCCCTTATGTATATTCATGACTCTTTGCTGGTTTCGCATGTGCTAAGTTATACTTGAATTGCAACAGTGATTGAGTATAGTGTGTGTTGGGGAATTGTCAGAGACGATTGCTGGTGTGAGTATGAATTGTTTTATATTGTCCTCTGTCGTCTGAATAAGTCCTTATTTTTACGCTGGCATTTTGTTTATAGAGTGCTACGCAATTATATTGCACCTGCAGTTGCTGGGTAGATCGTCATTATCCATGGCATCGGGGAAATCAAGAATTAGAGCTGTTGGGAGACTTTTTATCTTTTGGCCTTGAGAGATGAGGAACATGAGTTCAACATAGTTGCATAACCATCTCTTCAGAGGTGCCATCTTGTAAAGATACAACCACCACCAAGAATGTGATTTACCGAAGTAGCATTTCATGTAAAATTTGTCTAGCTAGATTACTGACCTGCCCAATTGTAGATGGTTCTTAAGTCACCTCTTTTGTTTCAATAGTTTCAATTTTTTCTTTATTGATGGAATTTGGATGGTAGATGTTTTAGACTAGAGTCATATGCGGTGGTCGTGGCAACTGGGATCACAACCCACTTATTATCTGTAACAGAAAACCTTAGCAGCAATTGATTGATACATCGACGTGACGAGGATGAAAATAATATTACTGATGTGTGGTAGTGTATATCATCATTGACTGTTGAGCATGAAAGACGAATGCTTGAGTATGATGGTATTAACTATTATTCATTTGCTGCATTCTGGGATTATGCTTTTGAGTGGACTCAGACCTTAGACACAGTAATGTTGGCGACGAGTATTCTCTCTGTGCTGATTTTCACAGGTTGGCTGGCTCTATTAACATTTTTCTCACGTTGAGTTAACTGATACTCGCGGAGAATTCTAAAAAGCTCTCTGAAAAGAGCCCAATGGGTTGTGAGTAAAATGATCAGTTGCACACCGCAGCTATCGGTTTGGCAGTGTCTCACGCCCGGCTCATCTAAATTTGCCTCCTCCGTGTTGGGCTGTGGATCTTTATGGTTGTATTTCTCTTGTGACAAGTAAAAGCCAAAAATGCGCATCAGCCTGACCAAAGCTAGAAGCTTTACTTTGTAACCTGAAAGAGGCTTTGCATGCGGGTTAGCAGGTATAAGAATTTATTAGACTAAAGGGTGTTATAACACCTTTTTTGGATTTTTTTTATAGGTAGGGTTCGAATCCCTGATCTATAGTCCAAAAAGGGATTTTATTCTCTTTTTGGTGGCCACTGGACCAAAGCTCAGTGGTTGTAAACCGAAACTTCTTCGATGCCTCATTTTAGCCAAGTCCATCCGTCCTTCCTCCTCTGTTTATTTTAGAATTCTTTTTTTGTCCCTCCGCCTTCCGGTATTGGGCAGTTTTTAAGACGAGGCCTTTCGCTCCAGGTTAGATGAGGGTCCAGTTACAACTTCTTTTCTGTTGTGGGCCACATGAATGTTGTGGCCCAGTTAGAACTTGACGTAGTCGAAGGGCACGGGCAGATTTCCCGCTAAATTCGTTTTGGATCTCCTCCTCCTCCTTTAAAAAAAAAAAAAAAAAAAAAAACTTGTTTTTGCCAACTCCAAAAGAGGGGCAAATAGAAATAATTTCCTTCTATGGTTTACCAAACCAAAATTTTTATAACTAACCGATTAATTTCTTGCCTCACAAACATCAAACTGATTAGAAGCTGTAAGTTAAAAGCTAGCTACTTTGATTAATTTAACATGATTAGTACTCCTATTGGAAACAATGCTGAAATAGATACAAGTATTATGGAGGATTTTAATGGTTTTCCTGGATGTGATTTTCGTGGCTGTTTACGCACGTGTCCCTTTTTTTCTTTTTTCTTTCCTTGAGTAAAATTTAGGGCGCCAAACATGTTATTTGGTTTATGATCAGGAAAGCCGTCGTTGGTTTGCAGAATTAATGCGACAAAAAGAGATGGAATCTGGAATTGTAGCTGCTTTGAGAGGCAACATCGATACTCATCTCTCCCTTCAAACTCCTTCGGAACATGTTACACCTAAGGTGCCGTTCATAATAGGTAAGGCCTTCCAGATTTTTGTAATACATATATATATATATTTTGTTGCAATAAATAATCTCATAGGCTTTCTTTCTTGCCCTTGAATTTTGACCGATCAAATATATATATATATATATGATGCAACTTAAACAATCTTCTTTTTTTTTTATTTGAATTTGAAATTGAAGGTGTTGCTGGTGGAACAGCATCTGGGAAAACAACTGTTTGCAACATGATTATTTCGCAGCTTCATGATCAACGGGTTGTTCTTGTCCATCAAGTAATGTTTTTAAGATTGAAGTAGCTTGCAAATTGAATCTAGTGAATTGCTAGTGCTGTCCTTTATTTTTTGTTGGTTTTCTATTTAATGCTTATTTTGTTCCGTGTGGAGAGTCTGAGAACCTTTTTGATAGGGATAAGTGCTTCTTCCCAGGATTCATTCTACCATTCTTTGAGCGATGAGCAACTACAAAACGTTCAGGACTACAATTTTGACCATCCCGGTAGGGCATCTTAGGAGGAGGATTTGTTTTCTAATTAGTGCTGCTTGATGAATGGACATTGCTTATATATTTCATTGATTTTCTAATAGTTAGTGCATATTTCAGACGCCTTCGATACGGGGCTTATGCTTTCTTGCTTGGAGGCATTAAAGCTTGGGCAAGCAGTCAGCATACCCAATTATGACTTCAAAAGCCACAAGAGCATTGAACCAGCACGGATGGTATTTACCTGCCTCTACTGGAGTGGTAGATTTTCCTCCTTGTGTCGTCTTGGTCATGTAGTCAGTAACTCAGGCAAACAGGACTTACTACGAACCTCATTGATTACCCTATACTTCCACGATCCAGTCAAAAAAAGGATGACTCGTGTCTATCAATTGGTATAATTTTTACTGGACTAAAGTTTTCATCCAATACAGGTCAATCCCTCAGATGTAATCATCTTGGAAGGGATTCTAATCTTTCACGATCCTCGTCTACGCGACCTTATGAACATGAAGATATTTGTTGATACAGGTACTTTTGTCTCCAATTCTCTCTACCTCATCCTCTTGCTTCTACAGTCTAGCAGCAGCCATGATGTCTTCTTCATCTTTGATTAATACGATCGCACCGAATTGCATGTTTTGCTCTCTTTAAACTTTTATCAGTGCAGATTCTGACGTAAGGCTTGCCAGGAGGATACAGAGAGATACCGTTGAGAGGGGCAGAAACATTCAGAATGTGCTTGACCAAGTCAGTAGAGTTACAGCTAAGCTTCTTTGTGTCACTTAATAGAAAATATAGTATGCTGAAAGACTTTCATTAAGTAATGTGCTGATATATAATGTGACCTGTGTCATTCTCATTTCTAGCCAGTAGTGCTGGCATGTTCTGCTAGCTCAATTATCCTATATCTTGCAGTATGCCAAGTTTGTGAAGCGCAGTTTTGAAGAATTTATACTTCCAACGATGAAATATGCTGATGTTATAATCCCTCGAGGAGCGGACAACGAAGTTGCGATTGATCTGATAGTTCAGCACATACGTACAAAACTCAGCCAGCATGACCTCTGTAAAATATATCCAAATGTGTTTGTCATCTATTCTACGTTTCAGGTAACATTCGGCTTCATACTCAATAGTCAGTATGTGGCAATGTGTCATCTATATTTTCTTGGTTGTTCTGCACTGTGTTGGTTTCATTAGCATGTTTTTTATGGTTTCTTTCAGACACGAGGGATGCACACATTAATACGTGATGCCAAAACAAATAAGCATGACTTTGTTTTCTATGCTGATCGACTTATTCGCTTGGTATGGAGAAATTCCCAAATAAAGTACCTTTTGTCGATTGTACATTTATGCGTTGAAATTTATGCGGTTGCTTGATGCCCAAAAAATCGAAAAAGAGAACTAAAAATGTACAGTGATCAAGTTCTTATTCATGTTTCAGGTTGTGGAGCATGGTTTAGGTCATCTTCCTTTTACCGAAAAGCAGATACTAACTCCAACAGGTTATATTTGTGTCATTGCCTGTCTGCTGCAACTTACAAACCAGGCCTGATTCTTGTATCTTTTTTCACCATTGCACGTTTCTTTGATCAAGGAAAGAAATTCACATGATTTTGTGACTTAAAACTCTTCATGCACCCAGGCACTCTGTCCATCTTAACGATAACAGCAAATGAAAGAAGAAAGGAAAAAGAAACTGTTATTTAACTAAGAGAGCCAAAGTTTTTTTTTTTCCTTCTTCCACACAGACGCTTTTGGCACTAATGAAGTTGAAATACAGTTCAGGATTGCTATAAGAAGATGGTTTTCTCCATCATAGATTGTAAAACTTATCACTGCCAGAGTTTGAGAATCTAAATCCTCTGGAATATGATCTTATTAAGATAGTTGATATTGTCGTAATAATTTCCCTTTGCAACTTCTGCAAATTGCAGGATCCGTGTACACCGGAGTTGTTTTCTGTAAAAGTTTGTGTGGTGTTTCGGTCATTAGAAGGTATCAGTTGTCTCCTGTTTTACCGCAAATCAAATAAGCATAGTTTTCGTATATGAATAATCATTCAGCTCAACTGGGATTACCATTTGTTCATGGATAACTACTTCTGTTCTTTGTTTGAGAACGCTTGATTCTCGAGTAACTAAAACAGTAATCTGCTGGAAACAGCGGGGAAAGCATGGAGAATGCTCTAAGAGCATGTTGCAAGGGAATTAAAATCGGCAAAATCCTTATCCACAGAGAGGGTAATACTGGTCGACAGGTTTGTGGAAATGTCTCCTGTGTGCGGCCATCGCCCTCTCAGCTCTTCCCCTTCCACCCTAGGATTTTGTCATTTGCGATGAGTTCTGGTTTTGGTTGCAGTTGATCTACGAGAAGTTACCGTCAGACATTGCGAGCCGCCATGTGCTGTTGCTTGATCCCGTACTCGCTTCAGGGTATTCTGCAGTCAAAGCTATTTCTGTGCTGCTCAGCAAGGGTGTACCAGAATCCAACATTATTTTCCTCAACCTTATTGCGGTGAGAGTCAAATTGGTCATACGTTTTCCATACTTCCTTCTACCATGCGTCTGCACTCATTTAAGCACTGAATCTGAATGACCCCATTCAGGCTCCTGAGGGAATACATGCTGTTTGTAAAAGTTTCCCTAGGCTAAAGATTGTGACCTCAGAGATTGACGCCACGCTAAACGAAGATCTAAGGGTGATGCCGGGCCTGGGCGAGTTTGGAGACCGATACTTTGGCACCGGTGCAGGATGATCGCCGACTCCGCATCCCTTCTACTGCTAGTGCCCTTCTTTTTTTGAATGAAAGTAGTACTACTAGTAATCTAGCTCACATGATTATGCACGCGTGCTACGGTGTCATTGTCAAAATTCAAAGAAATAAGAAAAGAAATTGCACCGTGCGCGCAATCGATTTTCTTTCTCACTTTTTATTATATTGTTATTTTTTATTCATGAACATCATGTTTTATTTATTTTTTTATTTTCTTAAAATTCAATAACTATTAACTGAATAATACACAAAATTTTACAAACTCAAATTTATGAATTTTCTGCTGCATTTTTTAATTTTCTATTATCTATTGCTTTTTTTAAGACTATTTTATTTTTTTTATACTTAGTTAATAATTATTGAATCTTAAGGAAACAAAAAAAAACTAAAATACAATATTTATGAAAGAGAAATAGTTATATAATAAAAAATGCGACAAAAAATTGGACAGGAAGTGGGATAAAAGATTCCGTTACTGTTTGCACCCTGCGACTAGACTGGTCACGCTGGTCTAATCCCTTTGTTGTTGTTGTTCACCCTTCACTCCTCGGAAGAGGATTTCCTACTTACCTACAGGCACTGGGAATCCCTCATGGACCTTGAGGAACTAAATTCTGCTGATACAACTTGCGCAAAGTGATACATAGCTTAAGACCGCGTCCACCCCAGTATAATTCTTATGCTTACGTGCAATTGTTCTTCAAACAATAAAGATGTGAATGTGCATACTGCAATAACTATACCAGAGACGCTACAACCCCTTTCTATTGATTTCTTTATAACTGTTTTGAGAAAAAGGAAAAAAAAAAAAGAAAAAAGAGAGAGAACGTTTCCCTTAACATTGCAAAGAAGGCCGTCTGCTGCTGCTATATTATAGCTTGATCTCTAGGAAAAATTGAACTAAATGGTACAATTTGCTCAACCGGGCAAGAAAATTTCAACACCAAGCATCAAAGCCCAGGTTGTAAACTCTTATCATGCATCTCCGATCTTCTTCTTCTTCTTTCTCGAGGCAAAGCTACTTGGTCCTATTTCCAAGGACATTCTCTTTGTCCTGTAAATCAAACACACGAGATCTTGAGCACTTTGACAGTTAAACAATCATCTAAAACCACATTTACCACTCTGAAAAAGATGATGTTGGTTTTCATTATCATGTTTAGTAAAAGAAAAGGCGAATATGGAAAACATAATTCCTTGTTCAATTTCAGCTTTTCATATCACCAATCTCTGTATATTGGAGATTGTGGACCTTTCTCCAATATACAGACTCTGCCACGTAAGGGAGAGAGAATACGCATAAAGTAGTGTAAGAAACACAGACAGACCGTTTAGTAAGCTCCACTGCTTCCTGTTTATCATCTTCGGTTCCTACATCCGGTGAAAGAAACCAATGCAAGTTTATAATCCTTAGCGACTTTCAAAAAGCAGAATGAATAATATCAATCTCAGCCAGGAAAAGATATGTTGTCTACCAACGTGACAATCATGAACAGTTTATATACTCCTCAGGAGTTAATTAGCAGGCTCTTAGTTGAACAAGTTATGGATATATACCTTCTCCATCAGCATCATCATTTTCTGGCCCCGACTCTGGATCAGAGGCCCACCTATCACCTCCATCATCATTGTCCCAACGTTCTCCCAGTGGTGGCATCCAGAAATCTTCTTCTTCCTCTGACTCACTGTCCTTCTCGGAAACATTTCTTGCTTCAGAGATAACTTCAACAACAGTCTTATCCCGATTCTCCTCCTTTTTCTTCAAACCATCATCCTTAACCTTTGATTTCTTCTCTGCCTTTTGACTGTCATCCTGTTTCTCCATCGCTCCATTTGTTATGCTGTGTCCTAATTCCACTTTTTCTGTTCACAATACCAAATGAAGAAGATACGGTTAATGTCCAGAATGGAAGTGATCCAATAAAATGAGTGTAATACACAACAACTTCACATTTTACACAGGTAGCTTCCCAGGCATTCCAAATATGAACAGCTGTCTCGTGTAACAACAGGGTAAACTAAAACAGGACAAACCTAGCATGTTGAGGAAACGTTTGCCGTTAATATGCTTCCATATATGCTCTTCTGATTTGTTGATAGTAAAGCCCGTTAGCTTGCAGATTAGCTTCGAACTACAAGAGGGAACCCGAAAATTACCAAAAAGGTTTACACAGGTATCGGGATAAACCAAGCATAAAAAATACACAATCTCAGCCTTAGACTATCCGAGAATCAGCAATTAAATTGTTCATAATAAGACGAGGCAAATCATATTTGCATTCCAAAATAATCCCTTGCGAGTCCACTTTCCTTCACGTAATAAAATATTTGAGTGAAGCGCCAGAAGCCATTATTGAAGTGCAAATTCACTTGCCTAAGATAAGAGCCAGAGTCGCAGCAAACATTTAATTTGAGCATACAGAAATCGCAACCCCCCCCCCCCCCACCCACAAACAAACACACAAAGAAAATAAATAAATATATAAAATTGAGAGCTTTGACACTACGAGTTCCGTGGGGAATCCAAACAATCGAGTTTGCCACAAGGGAACTGCTACTTTCTTCTGCTATATAAGAGATCCCAGAAGTTAATTAAATATAAAAACGAGAAAGGAAACCTTTATTTCATGTATCACTAATACATTATACAAGCGACGAGACAGACGGAGGAAATAAAAATGCTGCCTTGGAAACAAAATTATCGTCAAAGTAACAAACTACGATTCATCCAATTCACTAAGCTGCACTGGCTAGCTCTGGCGATGCCAGAATATGTACACATACGTTCTAAATCAGCTAAAAGAAAATCCCCACAAAACTGAACTAAGAAAACACAAGTAATTAACAAAAAAAAAAAAAACCAATCTTGCAAATTTGGACGCAGTTTACACACGCATGGAGATTCTACTAGCACAATCAAAGCCAAACGAAAACACGGTTGGGAGAGGTAGAAGAAGGGCAAAAATAAAAACAGAAGAGGAAAGCGGAAACATAATGAATGAATGAATACCGGGACAGAGGATCGTGACGGAACATATTGAGAGGGGGTTTGTTACTGGAGAGAGCGGCGTCGATGAGGCCCAAGCGGCAGTGCTTGGTCTGAGCATAGGAGTCTCTGGCATGGGCCGGCAGCTCGTGACCGGTCTCCACGCACTTGAACCGCCCATTCTCCAGCTCCTTGAAGCTCGGTGGCCCCAGAAGATTTTCCCCTTCTTTGCTTGATTCCTTCGTTCCTTCTACTTTGCCTACCTCTCCTCCTTTCTTCCCATTGCTTTGCTTGCTGCTGTCAGCCAAAGGTGTTATTTTTCACGCAACAAAATCTCTCACTCTTTTCTATTCTATTCCACTTAGGGCTCAGTCAGAACTCAGCAGTTGGAGGGCGGCGGTAGCAAAATATTAGCACCGGTATCAAGCATGAGTGCAAACGAGGTCGTTTCGGTAAGTGTATGTTTTTTTTGAGGAACTAGCAAATGCTCAAATTTACAAGTTTATGTCTTTTAAAAAAAAAAATGGGATGATTTCAGAGACCTCCTCTGACATTTATACCGATTACAGCTACCTCTCTCTAGAATTTGAAAAATTACAAAAACCTCCTCAAAAAAAAAAGTAGCTTTTTTTTAAGCAGCTTCTTGTGCCACAATCTACAAAAACCTCCCCTAAAAAGTGTGTTTATAAAATATTGAATCAATCCTCAATAGCTTGTAGATTGGCTCAAATCAATGTTCAATTTTCATCGCATATACTATTCACTCTTACAGAGTTATGGGAAATTCTTGCAAAAATCGATCCAAGTGGAAATCAGTTTAGGATTATGCATTATCGAGAACAAGAAAAATCTACTCATAATAATTTACCGAACTCCATAGGCAATCGGCTTTTCCGTAGCAACATCGGCTTCTCCGTGCATCTAACGTGCTAGGTCTGGTTGGGGCGCTAGACCGGGCCGGAGTGGGATTAGTCGGGCCGCCTTTACGGATTTGACCCGAACACCCACTCCGTCGACAAAAAAAAAAAAAAAAAAAAAAACTCCATAGGCAATCAAATACCAAACTTTAGAGTCTGACAATGATGAAAAAACAAGGGCATTGATGATTGTCCTGAACAGAATTGGCTTAAACTAACGAACCGCCTTCATTGGATGACACAGATATGTTATCCACTCATCACATCTTCTTCATCGTCCAGAACGAGAAGCTTACACATTGTTTCAACGCCATTTTAAAGCCAAGGCGAAAGCTAGTTGGCAAGTTTTGAAAATCAAGATTCAGGGATTTTTATGAAAAGTGAATTAATTGAAGAAATTGTGACATTACCATTGCAAAATTCGAATTACCTGTATCGACTAACGCGGAATTACTGCATATAAGCCCCTATCTTGTGAGCTGGTATACAACAAGCATTGAGTATCCTTTACTTGTTCTGATCGATTGAAATTAGATTTTGATAGATAAGTACATCGGAAGTTGAGCGGACGCAAACTGCTGCTCCTCCCTTGACACATAGATCTAATGCGTCCTGCTATTCAGTTGCAAGAACATACGTAGATAGGAGACTTGCAAGAACATATCTATGCTGTTTAAGTTGGACAGGATTCACGAACCCCCTTACAATCTGCTGCTAGCATCATCGGAATAACACGAGTGCTTGGTGCAAGCAACAGCAGTTGTCAACAGAAGTGAAAGTGTTTGGATGCCGCTCCTTCAGCCTGTATTATTGCCATGATTCAAAGCTGCGGTCCCAGTGCGAACCGTTTCACATGGGTCACGGTCTCAGCGAGACGCAGATTTTTGAAATATTTAATATTTTAAAAATTATAAAACATATGATAAACAAAAATAATAAAAAATTCGTAAAAATAATAAAAATTCGAGTTGACTCGGGATGACTCTGCCATTTTTATCTCGGCCAAGTTTTCGGTGACTCGACCGAATTCTCAGCAATTCATTATTTCGAAATCATCTCGTCCTGATATCGGAACAAAAGGCACCATTCCGGCCGAGTCGTCTCAGTCTCGGCCGACTCTTTGAACCATGATTATTGCTGATCACATGCTAACCCCAAGCCGCATATTTCACAAGGCTTAATGATCATGATCTACTAGTAACGCTTGCAAATAAAGTGTCAGTAAATGATTAAGTTACCAATTTTTTTTATGTAAGCTAAATAAAGTATGGGAATTTTGCATTCCAAGCATCAGTTCACTTGAAATGTGACCGGATAGGACTTTTGACGGTGAAAGCAGCGTCTGCTCTCCATGAAATAATTATTTTGAGTGGACAGTGACATTATGGAGACATGTACCAATTAAGACTAATTTGATGCACAAGTGGAGATCACTTCCATTTCATTATATGCATAAACCACATCAAGACGCCAACCACTACAAGTATTATCTGCCACAGATTTTTAAGACGTCTCTCTTACCTAATCTCTAGTATGTCAAACAACAACTTCCAGCCTTAGTGCTGTACTAGAATAGAAATTAGTGCACTAAAAGAATGATCCGTTTATTATTATAGATCTAACAGGTTGATTTAATGGTTCATACTTTGTAAAGCAACCAATTAACCTGTACCTGCTGCACCATTATGTACCGTTTAAATGAAAGCTTTATATTTTCTGAGCATAATGTGTACTGCTTAATTAGCAAAATCCAATGGGAAAATGGAAAGCTTTTACTGTGTCAGGACGCAAATGTTCTCCTTTTTTCTTAACTTAAGCTGACTGAAAATTAAGGATTGAGATGGTGGAAATGGTGGCCTTAGCATAGAAGTACATCAACTTAATCTAGAAGTATGTGTTTTCTGTGTGGATCCTGAATTGATTTTGTGGCCCGCAATGTAATTCTGCCATCGTGTTTAGCAAGTATATAAACAATCATGAACACCAAATATGATAAGCTCCTAGCTAGTATATTTCAGAAATAGAGGGTGTAATTGAATAATAATGACAAGGAGTTCAATGAACTACAGTCCCTGAGTTAGTGCCTGTGCTTACCAAGCATACGAGGCCTCTATAAATACTTTCCAACGAATGATTTAAGCTACTCAGAGCAAGAAACAAGCAGCAGAAATGGAGTTTTCAGGAGGCACAGTATTCCCTGTGATGTTACTTCTGTTATGTGCATTATTGATATCCGAAGGCCAGAATATGGCGGATTCAACATCATCATCGTGTGATTACCCTGCAATATACAACTTTGGCGATTCGAATTCGGATACAGGAGGGATCGCAGCAGCATTTTTCCCAATGGCAGCACCCTGCGGTGAGACGTACTTCCACAGGCCTGCCGGAAGGGCCTCTGATGGCCGCCTTATTATAGACTTCATCGGTAATAATTCGTAGAATAATCTTGACAAGAATAAACTAGGATTGAGTTATGAGCTTTCCGCATTTAATCTAATCAACTGTGTGCCTAAAATGGTTGTTTGAACGAAGCTGACCACCTGGGGCTACCGTTTCTCAGTCCATACCTGGATTCAGTCGGGTCCAATTTCCAGCACGGCGCAAACTTTGCAACGGGAGGGGCAACAATTCGGCGGCAGAACGAATCATGGTTTGAGACCGGCGTAAGCCCGTTCCCTCTGGACATTCAGGTTGAACACTATACTCAGTTTAAAGAACGATCAGCCTATTTTTACAGTCAAGGTACGTAGCCCGGGACACTCCAAAATTAATTAAACCCAACTATGTTATCTATCTTGGATAATGATGATCAAGACAAATTGCACGCTACATGATTCATTCTCTGATGGATAAAAGCAGACAAGGTAGCATCCGATAAAAGCAGGCTCCCAAAACCGGAGGACTTCTCCAAGGCTCTATACACGTTTGACGTAGGCCAAAATGATCTCGCCGCTGCTTTCAGAAAGATGAGCTGGGAAGAGCTCAGAGCTGCGTTACCGGACATAGTCAACCAATTTGCTAAACAAATCCGAGTAAATTAAATTCCACAGCCAGACCATTCGAGAAATGATCCATATCTGCCAAGACTTGCAAATTGTGACAGCGGTAGTTTGTTTTTGACAGGGTATGTACGAGAGAGGAGCAAGAGCAGTTTGGATACACAACACGGGTCCCATCGGTTGCTTGCCGGCGTCCACGGTCAAAGTGAAAAATCCACCGCCGGGGTATCTGGATGAACATGGGTGTATCAAGAGCCAGAATGATGCAGCCATGGAGTTCAACACACAGCTCAAGGAAACGGTGGTGCAACTGAGGGCAGAGCTGTCAGGAGCGGCAATAACCTACGTAGATGTGTACAGTGCAAAGTACGGATTAATCAGCAACGCAAAGAAACATGGTATGTACGCATGGAACGAGCATCAAAAGTCATAAAAAAAAAAAAAAGGCTGCAAACATAATAATAATTATATCTCTTTCATAAGCTATCACGATCACTAAGAAAAATTCACTCAAGATGTGTGCGTGCTCTGGCCGCCATGATGGTACTCGTCTTTGTCTGCAATTTGAATAAATCAGCTCAACTCACTGCAACTGAAACATTTTTTTTTTGTTTTTTATAATAATACTACTTGCGTTGATTAAAGAAGATGGTGACCACAAGTAAAGTAAACACAAAATTCAATTAGTAGCAGTAATTGTCAATGATGCATCATGTTTTGTGCTAAATAGATATATATACCCCGTGAATCCATCTCTGTTGGAAGACATGATGATGAATTCTTTCTTTATACTTTTACAATACTAGTACTGCACTAAATAGTGAAAAACCCAAGCCCATATCAGATGATGCATATATATATATATATACGTATGGGGGGGATAGTAGCTAGGACCAATTGAATTAGGAGGGAGTACTAAAGAAGAAGAGTAAACTGAAATTGGAAAAGACAAGACAGGATTTGAGGAGGCTTCCAAGGTCTGCTGCGGCATTCATGGATTGGAGAATGATGTGTGGTGCGGGAACAAAGGGATTGTGAACGGCAGCGAAGTGTACGGAGGTTCCTGTGCAGAGCCCGGGGGAATCATCAGCTGGGACGGAGTGCACTATACTGAGGCTGCAAACAAATGGATTGCCAACCTCGTACTCAATGGTTCGCTCTCTGACCCGCCACTCCCAATCGCAAGAGCCTGTCATCCCCAAATCTGAGCTGCTGCTGCTCCTCCTCCTTACCATCTTCTTCTGCACCCTTAAAACTAACACGTAATGTGATATAAGAGGTAGTTGTAAGTAAATCTTTAGTTAGCACAGACATGATTGATGATACCACTACTACGTTGCTGTCTTCGATCATCCGGCCAAACCAAACACTCTTATATAACCACTACGTTGTTGTTCTCAGGATGTACTATTACGTTTTGAAAAAATAAAACGAAGAAGTCTTAAAGAGATAAGAGTTGGGAGAAGCAGATGGTATCCCCTCTTTTCTTCTCGCATTAATAGCCAAAAAGACCAAGAGCCGGTCAAGCACATCGCACGTTATTCCTTTCTTTCTTTGTTTTTTTTTTTTTTTGAAATTCTATTTATAAAACGACTGCAGTAGACTTAAAATCATTTTAGGTTGACTTTTTCTATCTATAGATTATTATTTTGAACGAAACTTGGTGGTTTAACTATTTATTAATTACTCAAAAAATTAATGAAGAAGTATATGGTCTATGGATATTGGGTCGTCTCTCAACTCCAGCAAGAAGTAACACCAGGCCCACGCCTCTTCCGTACATCCAGGAACCGCTCGATCAAATCCCAAATCCCAAATCCCAAATCCCAACGGCATAGATTTGATACCCATATTGATATTATACCATCTTTATAAAATTACATAAACCCCACCTACCACCGTGGCTCCAAGAAAACTTGGCCTTCAAGCAAACCAACTCTAGCAGTAACCGAATCAATTCCTCTGCCCATTTCCAATCAGTTCCTCCGTCTTACCATGAAACAGTAGTGCTACTACTTTTACAGTAGTATATACCATCGTCCTCCTCTCAGTCTCAGTCTCAGTAACCAGCCAGCGCTGATACTCGTCTAAAATGTGGTAAACCCCATCCGTCCTTTCTCCAATATTCACAGACCCCTTCTTCTTCTTCTTCATCATAATCAACAATCTCTCCAACCAACTTCTTCCAATATGGCTCCTAACCCCAGTTCTCTCCTCGGCCCACCTGAGATTTACCGACCACCTCCCACCACAAGGCCCCCGCCTTCTTCCTCCTCCTCCGCCAAATCCGACCCCTTCATGGACCTTATGGTCGCCAACTTTAACACCCTCGCCGACAATCCCCCTATGGGCTTCACCGAAAACTACTCGGCAACCTTTCTTTCCAGCGGCAACCCTTGTTTGGATTTTTTCTTTCACGTGGTTCCCAATACCCCGCCAGAGTCCCTCACCCAACGCCTTCAACTCGCCTGGGATTTCGATCCCCTGACGACCCTTAAACTGATTTGCAACCTCCGCGGCGTCCGCGGCACTGGAAAATCTGACAAGGAGGGTTATTACGTGGCCGCACTTTGGCTTCACATTCACCACCCTAAAACCCTAGCCTGCAACGTGCTCGCCCTCGCTGATTTTGGCTACTTTAAAGATTTGCCCGAGATTCTTTACAGGCTTCTCGAAGGAGCCGATGTGCGAAAAAGGGCAAAAGACGAGCGGAGAAGTAAAACAGGGAGGAGGGGATTCGGATCATGCGCCAGGAGGAAAAGAAGATGCCATCCAATTTTTGGCACCAGAGGAGGAGGAGGAAGGGCAAGGGCTGCCCCTTTTTCCAGGAAGCCCAAGAGGAGTGGGAACAAGGAGGGCGCCCCTCCCAGGGAGGCCAGAATTCTGGCTAATCGGCAGCAAGTTGAGATGCAGAAACAAATGGCCAGGAATCAAAGAGAGGAGAAGAAAATTAAGCAGGCCAAAATGGCCGTTGAAAGGTATCGCCGCGACCCAGATTACAGATTCTTGCACGAACGCGTGTCTGATTTTTTTGCAGAACGCTTGAAAGCAGATTTGGAGTCGTTGAATTTTTGGGAATTGAGCAAGATAAGCCTTGCTGCCAAGTGGTGTCCCTCACTGGATTCTTCCTTTGACAAATCGACCCTCTTATGCGAAAGCATCGCGAGAAAGGTGTTCCCCAAGGAGTCCTATCACGAATACGACGGGATTGAGGATGCACATTACGCTTATCGCGTGAGAGACCGACTGAGGAAGCAGGTGCTGGTTCCCCTGCGCAAGGCTTTGGAATTGCCCGAGGTCTACATTGGCGCTAACGACTGGGGCTCCATCCCTTATAACAGGGTTGCATCCGTGGCTATGAAGAATTACAAGGAGAAGTTTCTGAAACACGATAAAGAAAGGTTTGAGGAGTATCTGTCGAAGGTGAAGGATGGCAAGGCCAAAATTGCTGCTGGTGCATTGTTGCCACACGAGGTTATTGCGGCTTTAAATGATGCGACGGTGGCGAAGTTGCTGAGTTGCAATGGCGGAGAATGGTGGAGGATTTGGCCAACAAGGGAAAATTGAAAAACTGCCTTGCAATCTGCGACGTTTCGGGTAGCATGTCCGGGGCACCCATGGAGGTGTCTGTGGCTCTGGGGGTTTTGGTTTCTGAGCTGAGTGAAGAGCCATGGAAAGGAAAGCTCATAACGTTCAGCGCAAATCCCAAGCTTCAGAAGGTTGAAGGGGAGGATTTGAGATCCAAGACGGATTTCGTGAGGCATATGGAGTGGGGATGAACACCGATTTTCAAAAGGTGTTTGATTTGATACTGAAGGTGGCAGTGAATGGGAAGTTGAAGGAGGATCAGATGATTAAGAGGGTGTTCGTTTTCAGTGACATGGAGTTTGACCAGGCTTCCGCCCATCCTTGGGAAACTGATTACCAGGCAGTACTTAGGAAGTTTGGAGCAAAAGGGTATGGAAATTGTGTGCCAGAGATAGTTTTCTGGAATCTCAGAGACTCAAGGGCCACACCCGTCCCCGAGATCAGAAAGGGGTTGCACTTGTCAGCGGATTTTCGAAGAATCTGGTTACTCTATTTTTGGAGGATAATGGAGGATTGAACCCAGAAGCCGTCATGGAGGCTGCAATTTCTGGTGATGAATATAAGAAGCTAGCGGTGCTGGATTAAGATGGGCTGCCATGGAAAATATATGAGTATTAAATAGCGGTAGTTACTTTTTCTACCTGTTAGACGTGTACAAATTTTCTCTAGAGGCAATGAAAAAGAAATCTTGAATTCCTGTCTTTGATTTGATGATTTTTTTCCCCTGTTTTGCACTTATTTTATTTGGGGTACTTTTCATTGATAATTGACATACACTCGGAAGTATTAGTAAGAAAAAGAAAAATTGATTGGTGCTAGGATGCAGCCAACAGGAATTCATCATTGCCTGCAGAACCATATGCCAGGAACAACTTCACATCCGAAGATATACACTGTTAGATTCACAGTACCAATCGCTTCCAGTAGCCGACGAGGACGACGACTGCTGAAACGCTAATATACAACAATTGACAAGCTTAAACAACAACTCCGCGTGAGTAACCGTAGGATGCCCAATAAATAATAAAAGCAGATTTCCCCTGTCCACTTAAATAGCCGTAGGAGGATGCCCAATAAATACATAAGGCAGATTTCCCTTGTTCCCTGTACTGCGTGAAAATTATAGACAAGTGTGAACTATGTTGTACGTTCACTGCCGATGTCCGTCTGGAAGAGCGACCACCCTATGGAAGGGTACCGACCGCTGAGGTAAAGATCCGTCTTCCTCATCATCGTCAAATTCAAGTATATAGCTGCCAAACAATCATTGAAGCATATTACTATAATCATTTCCTCGGAATAAATCAAATCAGGCCTCCCTATGGATAAAGCATTGGTGCCAAGCACTACAGGGAAAGGGAAAACAGTCTGAATTTACAAACACGCTTAATAACTACTAAGGAATCATCCTAGCTAGTCAAAAGACAACCATGAGCTCTTAATTCTTCAAAAAATACTAGATGACTACCAAAATTGGATAGAGATAGTTACTTACTCGTCAGTTTTTCTCTGAAAATCAATCAACAGCAGAAGACACCAAATCCCATGCAAGTTGTAGAAAGAGATGTCAACACAAGATTAATGGGCAATCATGCTGCTATTGTAAAATGCACACAATGTACCGGACTAATGAAAACCACATAGGCAGAATTTACCTTGCGAGCTTGAACTACAGTTGCTTTATACAGGGCAGTGGTACTTGGGTAGACAGCCAGAACATGTTTTCCTGCTGGAAACTCTTGAGCGCTAGAGGGATCATTCCGCTTGGGGAAAGGGATGTGACATGGGTAGCTTGTACTTCCTGAAAGAAGTAAAAATTGGAAATATGTCATTCTGATCAAGCGAACCAGCTCCAAATCAGTTGAACAAACAACCACAATCAGGACTTAAAGAAAAGAGACTGATGAGTAACTCAAAAGTATACATGACCAACTAAAAGTATTTTGAAAGGCAATGAGACTTGCATAAACCATTTTTGAAGCTCCAGAATAATCCAGATAAGAAAATGTTTCATCATCATGGCTTAATAGCTTTAAAAACAAAAAGACAAAAAGAAAAAGGAAGTAGCATTTGTCATTTGATGCTCAGTTTCAAATTGAATTCAACAAAATGACAATACAATGGATTCTAACTGTTATTTTATCGAGAAGAAATGTTTAAAAAATCATTATTTGAGATACATGCCTGTGCAGATACTGTGGTATCCAGTGAATTATGTGAGATACATGCGAAAATCTTCTTGTTTTTCTTTTGTCTATCATGCAACTACAGCTGGTACATTAGTCAAAAAAAGGCATAATTCCTCATGAAAAGAGATCATACTAGACTCTAGTATAAGATAATAAAAAGCAAAAGAAAATGATAGTCCTTGACTGTAGAAGAAAAAGATACAAAATAACTCATAATTAAATAAGCGAATGCAAAAACTTAGTCCAATTAAAAGGCACCAGAGAAAAGTTGAATTAGATATCCTCAGATAGATGGAAATAAAAGGAACCAGGTTTGCTACCTCTGCCCGCCACCCTCCTCATCGTCACCAGGTTCTTCATCTAGGACTTCAAATCTGCATATATAGTCATCAGAAGTAAGAAAAAATGCATACGAGATGGAGGGAGGAAGTAAATTAGATGAGATTTTCGCTTAGTTTTGAACTTTTGAATTACTCAAGAAATGAAAACTGTGACACTTCAAGAGAAGATGGGGATTAAATAGATGATCTTTCCCCTTACTGTTGTACTTTGTTGACCTCTGTAATGATGAGATTAAGACATTTCCAAGCTAGTCTCAGAAATTGACTTACTCTCTTGTTTCTCGGTCGAAATGCGTTACTTTAACTATAAACCACTCATCTTTATCAGCATCCTCTAGGGTGACCCTAGCTGCTACCTGGAAAACATACAAGTTTCAAAGAACTATTGAAAACTTATTACAAGAAAGAATAAATAACATGTTAGGTTGCTGCACAAAGTTACACTAGGACAAATGCAAAAGAGACTATCATGTCAATGAAAATAATACTCAGTTCGTACTTGTTCACCCTTCAAACTAGCAAGAGCATCAAGGTGATTGCGCACAGAAGGTGTCAATCTTGAGACATCAGAGTCAGCCTTCATACGTTTTTTTTTCTGCTCACTGCCCTCTGTAAGTAACATTAAACAAAAGTTTACCAAGAAAGAATGAACCTCATTGGCTATCAAAAAAGGTTACTTTGAATGCAAATCAAAGCTAAGAGAAGCTACATAATCTCAAAAACAAAATACCACAAAAGATAAGATGACCACTTTGACTAAGAAGCATTACTTGATTTTTAATGCTCATAATTCACTCACTGGGGACATACTCACATAAGTCATTTTAGCTTAGAATTATACCCACTAATAGCTTTCTACCAAGGGGAAGATAATTTTTTCTTTCATATTTCCTAGTTATGACTTTGCAAAGTTATTGACCTGGGTTGAAAATATGTTTGATCTAGCGTTTTTGGAAAATTTGAGCTTAACCAAAAATCAAAAGGCAGCACGGGTCCCAGTTGCAGGCTTCTCCATTGACACTGTTAATTTCAACTTTCTCTCTTTTCCTATTATTCTTCTTTTCAATTTCAATCACCATTTTGTAAGCCCCAAAGCAGGTTAATTTCCTCCTCTGTCTACCAAAACACCCAAAAATGAAATTTTTATTGGTGAATGCAACAGTGCAAACTTAAGGCAGCATAAAGCCAGAGCAAGTTCTTAGATTATTTACTTACAATCATATATCAGTAGCATTAACAAATATACATATCCTTTGTCACTTCTGGGAGAGTAGACATACCTATCCTTCTTCGCTGTTGCCCTGGAGGTCCAGTAAGTATTAAAGCATCAAGTTGCCCTAACAACTGATTGGAGATACTGCAACCAAACAAACAATGATCTAGGTTCTTATATTTGCACATATAGAAAACCCAATTTGAGAAGAATTCATTAGTTACTATGAAGTATCTACATAGAATAATCCATGGCATACTACATCCTCCACCACCAAATCAATAGCATGTGAATGGAACCAAAGCCTTTAGATATATCAGCCTATCAACAGTGATTTAAGTTGGGGGTAACATGCAGGTGCACAAGGAAGAAAAAGAGCAAGAAGCGGAAATGATAGACATACTTCACTTCACTCTCTGAAAGATCTTTGGCTCGAGTATATAGCATCTTGAGCCTTGAGAGTGAATCATCACCAGGCTTCTCAACCACCTCTGGAGCTGCATGGGCAAGTAAAAAAGTTAAACATTTTCTGTATATGCTTGTGCAGAATCTTTTAAAACAGGTGAAAGAATGGAGAATTTGCAAATAATCCTTTTGCAAGAACATAGGTTGTTAGTTTGATCCCATGGACTGTATAATAGCGAAAATAGCCGCAAGTTATGTATCCTTCAACTACCAGGAACTAATGTTGTGCTTGTCAACTTCAACAAATTAGAGTTCACCAATTCAACAAATATCTGCATTATATCATATTTCCTTTCCTCAAAATGCCTTATCATAGAGTGGTGAAAGCAATCTTATTTTGACTCTTTCTTCCACGAATCAGCATAATGAATCTGTGAAAAGCTTTAAGAAGGCATAGAAGCCATTGCCATTGGGAAAAGATAAGATATTGCGTCTTTTTATTCAGATCACTTCTTCAGATAATGTAACTAAGTTGCCATTGAACCAGCTTCTGTTACATACTTTAAGCCAACCTTGAATTAGGTCAATCATTGAAGTATGCCAAGCCATTTTGTAAAACGACATTACTTCCTAAAGAAACAAATTCCTATCGAATAGAAGAGATGTGTAAAAATTGGCTCCTATCCAAAATTAGCTCATCTGGACCAAAAAACATAAAGCTTATAATTTGTCAATAGCTCTTTGAAGTGCATTCAAAATCTTTTGAGTCATAAGCCAAGTGTAGCATCATGATATAATAAGTGTACATCGTCTGGCATTGGTTGTCATGTGTAACTTACCTGATTAGGAAGTTTGACTCTCTAAAATGGTACAAGACATTGAATGCTTTGGTAATATGATGATATTAGGGTCCCAAGAATTGATGGCACGACGAATTCACTGAACCATGAGACAAAAATCCAGTGTAAACTCTCCCAAACTATGCAAGTGGGACCTAACATACATTAGCTTCGAGAAGCAAAATTGCAAGTCCTACTAGCAATGATATCATCAAGGTAAGTGCACAAAATGCTTGCTCGCTTTTATGCACATATGTTAAACCCAGAGGCTTGAAAGATGTAAGCATGCACGTAGATATGCCCGTCAGAGTAGACTTCAACAGCAGCTTTGAGCAACTTTGTCGTTGCTCAATTAAACATTAATGGTTCAATTGGACAAAAAATATGTTCTATTCGGTGGTCATCAGCAACTTTTGTCCTAATTATAATCCCCTAATATGATTCAAACCTATTCGAACTTGCAAAAAGACGACAACAACCATTCTAGATAACGGAATGATTGAAAATATAATTTCTACAACCAGCTTCAAGAGTTAAAAAAGGTTAGCCAAAGCCCACCTGCAGCACCAACAACTAAAAATTATTCAGCTCAAATCTATTTTCAATAGATAAGATAACCCCGATAAATAGTAGTATAAAGGTGATCTCCAGGAATGTAGCCCAAGTAAAGGATAGTTTGATGCATAATGAGAACATTCTGGATATT